ATATATAAGTAAGAGCTAGCGTACAAATCAGCAAAAGACAGTCTCTATAACGCATCCATTTGCTTCTTCTTTTTCTTTGATGATTCCAACGTTCGAAGTAAACGAGACAAGTAGAGAGAGCGAGAGAGAGAGACTTCTCTCGTTACATTCAATAAATTCCCGGAATGATCCTGTATTTCACTTTCTCACAATACAGCTTCCAATATTTCCCATACCTTTTTTTTACACCAACCAAATCAGAAGAAGAAGAAAAATGGTCAGCAAATCAAAGCAAAGATCAAAGAGGATGTGTAAATCAGAATTTGGTGCTTACTTTGATCGGCATCTGTCATCGTCTCTCTTAGCTCGATCGAAGAGAAGTATGGTGAGGAATATGACGTAGAAGTATGCCAAGAACTGTTTTTACAAAAATTACAAACATGTTTACTGTGTTAAGTGTGTCTCCGATCCCTTGCAACATGAGAGAGCATATATAATATACCAAATAGATGGAGAAGGATTTTTACGTTATCGAAGAGAGCCGGTACAGTCCAGAAGAAAGCACTTAGGATCTCAGGAACATAATGGAAATGACGAGCCAATCCCCACCTGCACATTCATATCCATTGGTGATGAACAACGTACGTCTTATTAATTAATATTGTTGTTACAGTGTAAGAGTTGAATAATCTCACCATCCAGATGTTAAGAGCAGACTAGTTTTAGTTTCACCAGATGTTGTAGTATACGATGCCACAATCTGCAACAAACCGGAGAGACCAATTGAGATATTCACATGCATCAATATGTTTATATTTGAAAAAAAGAATAAAGCTAAGTTCACTGACTTAGTTATTATTATGATCATACCTTTGACGGGGCTCTGCCCCAAACCGTACATTTCCCATTTGTCCTCCTGAACTCTTGCCTTTGTCTATCGCAGTCATAGTTTATGTAAATGCAAAGGACTCCTGCAATGAGAATGTATATTGCCAACTGCAACCAAAAATGACGGATATGGTGAAGTCTTAGAGACAGAGTTAGGCAACAAACGTGCCAACGATTATAGGGTCAATAGTGTTTTCAAGAACGGTTTTATTCTACCACAAAGATTGATTTCTCAAAACTAGAGTCATGAGCTATAGCATGGAACGATTCAAAGTTTTTAAAAAACTTTCTATACTATAAACTCATCTCTCTATTGTAATGGAGGATACACGGTAATTCGATTACAAGAATCACAGCGCAATTCCTAGAAATCTGAATACTTTAGGAAACCCTAACGTTGAGATTGTCATATTTACCTTAGCCTTTATTGTCCTTCTAACCCTATGAAAATAATATCTTAAAGGAATCTCATTCGATTAACACTCAGAGGTTATTTCTCTCGTGTACATCATTCTCTATATTCTGCTATAACAGTTAAACTTTTTGCACCTGAGTTCCAAGTTCGACAGGGTGGTTCACAAGGTACATGCCTGGAGAGGTGTATACAGAAGGCACCCACACCAGACAACCCCAGCAAATGTAGAAGCCAGCTGAAAATCACAAATTATAAAGCATTGAAAATGTTAGCTTTCAGTGTTTAAGCTGGAAATAAGAATCTGGATAAAATGCTTTTGCATTTTCCATATAAACAGAACAGTGATGATGATATGGCCTTATGGTACAGAAACTATGATGATGAGATAATTTTCTTTTCTTGTACCCTATATGACAATGATGATGATATAATTGTATACATGTACCAGATGCTTACCTCGGTCATGTGCGATGTCCATGGTGTTCCAATAACCAGCCTCCCACCAAAAGAATTTTGTGACATACACCAGCATCAGTATGGTGTTCACCAGCATTGAGTCAGATAGTTTCCCATTCATTTCATACTGGTTAAAGTAAGCATAAGAACCAAATATTAGAAAGAGGTGAAACTCTCTGATGAAACAAAGAATTCAAGAAACCTCCAGGTTACGTTGTCAGAGTGTGGAACTCTGGTGTTTACAAGAAAACTAATCAAAATGTACCTGTTTTATGCAGTACGTGACTGCAAGAACTGCCCAAGACATCATTCCAAATCTGCAATTAGTAAAAACCTTGATGTCAAAGTTTTTACCAATTCGAGGGTACAACTCCATGCCCTGCAAAGCACAACGCAGAGAATACAGTGAGAAAAACATTGCTACAAATTGGATTATGTCAATCATAAGCTGGAGACAAAGAATAGATTGTGAGAGAAGATCTAATCTTGAGATTATTATATAAGTTACTAAGTACTGCACAATTTGTTCTTGTCCTCCTTCATCTACTAGCATGTACGATGATATTCACACGAAACTATTTCCCTTGCATTTACTCAATAAAATGAGCAAAATACTGCTAAGAACGTTGATGTTTACATGTCTACTAAATGTGGAATTTTAGTAAAGCTTGACCTCAAAATGTTGAGCAAGAAAAGTATGAGTAGATGGCTGATATTGGCAAGACATGAGCCTCAAATAAATCCCAACGAGCAATTTCAGAAGAATGAGAATCTGGTCAGCAGAAATAACTCACCCAATAGAAGTCAATAATAAGGTTACCACATGAACCAGAGTCACTTGATGAAGGTGCAACATGACCCTGTACAAGGAAAAAAAAAAGCAAGTTTTAGAAACACAAAAGGTCAAATTGGAAAATAGTAGAGACTAGGAAACACACCATTCATGACATGGACACTTACCTTAATGTACAACAAAACACAAAATATGAGGCTTCCGAAGATAAGTGCTGAAAAAATTTCACCCAAGTGATCATAGACTATTGAAGGGTTGAAGATTCCGAACCTGAATAACGGAAAGAAGTAAACTCAGATAGGTGTAACACTGAATCCAAACTTAAGATATGACTTAATCCAAAGCAAAGTGATCAAAAAGATTAAACATTGCTCACCACCAAAGACCAAGATAGGTGGCTAGGGTCACAAAGTAAGCAGCCACACCATTGGCCTGCAAGAACAGAACCTTATAGTCATTAATCCGAATAAACTTCCACCACACAAGGCTAATTGAACCATTTTCAGTACCTTGTAAACTGGTTTGTTCCCAGCTGGAGAAATTGGACCCTCGACTCTTTTACCAGGCAGAAGCAGCTGAAGAGCAGCCTCAAATGCTCCATAGCAGAAAATTATCTTCCAAGCAATCATAGTGGGTCTTGGCCATATGTTGATGAGTCCTTGAACTCCATTCTCCCAAAAGTAGTTAGAGGTCTTAGTAACAGACCCATCCTGATGAACCATTGTGTACCATCTGCAATTTAAAGAAATGAGACTTGTTTGCATTACTTAAAACTCACTGAAACTAGGATGACCATAACAGAGCAAACTAAGTTCCAAAAACAGAGAAATAGATACAAATAGAGTAATAATCATAGTGGCTACTATATAGATTAGATATGAATTTAACGAAGCCCATAACTGTATCAGTGGTCTGTGACTCTACAGCTGATAAGAATTTAAGAACCTGAGACACTTTCTACTAAAAAGAATCATTAAATCGCTTTATAAATCGAAGATTCTTACGATTTCTACTTCACGGAATAAAAAATTAGACGATGAAGAAGCATGCGAGTCTGATCTGAGAAGACGAATAAAGAGGAGCTTACAGGAGAATGACGAAAGGTGGACAGACGGCGAGAAGCGAAAGCATCGATGCGTAAGTAACGATCGGAGAATGCACAGTCTCCGCCATCTTCTTCCTTCTTATTCTATCTCGTCTCAGACAAAACCTCAGATTCTGATCTGTGTGTTGTGTGTTGACCCAAACGAGAGTCTGCGAAGTTAACGATGAACTTCTTTCTTTCTTTCACAGGTCTTTTAACTGTGAAACAGAGATAAATCCAACGAGTGATGGATGTGTCACGTGTTGTTCATCACATTCCTTTTTTTGAAAATTCCAATTTTACCCTTAAGACTTTTCTTCACCATCGTTTTTGATCCCAATCTTCTTCTTCCTTTTGCTTCCTTCTCTCTCAAACCTCAAAAAAGATCTTCTTCTTCTTCGTCTCTGTGTATTTTAGTGATGAATCGAGACTAACAAAATCGATTCTCATCACTCTGATTCGAAGCCATTGTAAAAGGAACCAGCTTCTCAGTCGCACAAAAGAGATGCTTGGTTTGGAAGCAAGTTCTCAAGAATTGGTTGAATTCGTGTGAGTATCGATTTTTTTCAATGTTTTTTTTGGTGGTTCCAGGTGAAACCCTAGATCCATTTTTCTGAGGCTGTCTCGTATTCAACAGGTTGTTTCGCCATTTTTAGCTCGTTTTAAGACTAGTTTTAGTATGTTGAAGAGATGCAATTAGAGCCTAGTGATGATGATTATAGGAAGGAACATATATTATTCGATGAATCAACATCCTCAAACGAAATCGTAGTCTTGGAAAGAGGGGATCGTGTTGTGGAGGAAGGACAAGTTTCAGAAATAGCTGAGAGTGGTGATGATGATGATGATGATGACGAAACTACACTTCTCGTTTCTGGAGATCAACCACAATGTAGAATTTGCCTTGATGTTGGAGGTAACTAAGGCAATTCCTGATCTCTGAGGATTACTGTAATTGGTATCTTTGGAGAAATGAGTAGACTTTGTTGATTGTAGGGGAAGATCTGATTGCTCCGTGCAATTGTAAAGGTACTCAGAAGCACGTTCACAGATCTTGTCTCGATAATTGGCGCTCCACCAAGGTAAATTATCCTAACCACTGCCAGAAATATTTGTTCTTGGTGAGGGTAGATGAGGTTTTGAATCAATGGTTAATTACTTACCTTTTGAACCGTGTTGTTTCTGTGATTTGGGTGTGCTGCAACTGTTTTGTTTATGTATCTTTTTTCGTCTGGGTGTGCGATTTGTTTCAGGAAGGTTTTGCATTTTCGCATTGTACAGAGTGTAGAGCCTTCTTCAAACTCCGAGCCAATGTGCCTGCTGATAGATGGTGGTTGAGATTAAGATTCCAGATGCTGGTTGCTAGAGATCATGCATTCATCTTCATTTCTGTCCAGATGGTACATGACTTGTTTCCTTGTTAGACTTTAGTGTTTTTACATTTTCATCTGTAATGTTACCATCTCCTTCACTTCCATATCTTTCTATCTATCCCACTCTTGTATCTTACTACAATTCAATCATGAGAATGCAAATCAATAGCGATATTGCCATATCATTATATGACCAAATCCATGTTTTCTTATTGCATTTCAAAACTGAAAAAGGAGATTCCTTTTATGAATATTGATGGATGTTATATGTGATGCTTAGTGAATGCATTTATACTAAAGAACAAAGGCTTCTTGTATCAACAGATTGTAGCATTCTTGGGGTTACTAGTATACAAGTTCTATGGTGAAGAACTACGAGAAATGTTTGGTTATGAGGAACATCCTTATGGGTTCTACACATTGGCTGGTACATAATCTCCTGATCACTAGGTTTAGAATCGATCAGAACTATCTTTGTGCTGAACCACTGAGCGTTAATGAACATGATGGTCTATTTCATGTTGCAGTTTTGGCCATTGTCATGGTAGGACTGCTTTACGGGTTCTTCATTGCCATTATATGTGGTCAGAGGATCAACGAGCGGCATTACCATGTTCTTGCCAAACAAGAACTTACAAAGGTCAGCTTTCTTGCAGCTTTTCTGTCCTCGAACATCGGTAATTGCTTTCTGGTACACAACACTCTTTTTTGTGTCAATCAAATCAGGAATATATAGTGGAAGACCGCGACTGCAAGAATGTTCCTGAGCTTGACCAAAGTCATGTGATGGAACTAAAAATGTTGGGACTTTATTGAACATATAGTACAAGAGTAGAGCTGGCCGGATCTTTACTCTTCATGTCACCTGTAAATTATACTCTTCATTGATTTATATGGTTGTTTCAACGAATTATTGTGCCATCTTCAAGTGGTTTAATTTTTTTTTTCATTGTTTCAGATGAAAATATTTATCTGTATGATTATACTTGTTGTCATCTCCACCACAACACAGACATCATCTCGCTGGAATCGTTTTATAATCAATACTCGGGCCCAAGATGACCTGTATGTAATGGGCTCTCTCGTCTTAACTATTGAAGCATTCACAATAACAAGTCCAAGATTATGAGTTTATGAGATTGGAAAAAATCCAATAGAAGCCCATCTAATGAGAGTGCTCCATTAATTCGTAAATAGGGAAAAGGTTTACAGGTTTACACTCCCGTAGGCCGTAGTCCCGTTAGAGAGCTGGAACTGAAAACTCAAATGGTAACATCAACAACACTCATAGGAAAAGACCTAATAAGAAAAAACAGGTTGCTAGCTGTAAACCTATTAGTCTAAAAGTTTTTGTTGTTTAGTTAAATATCACAGTACAACAACAACAACTAACAAAATATTAACATCCAGAAAAAATGATTCATACATAGAATAAGGTTATAGGTTAATGTCAGTTTCATCAACTAGTATAACGAGAAAAAAAAAAAATAATAATGTTTACATCGAGAAAATGATCTTGGTACATATGATGCATATTAAAATTAAGATAAGAAATGAAATTAGACTTATAACAAAAAAAAAAAAAATTGATATTAAAGAATGAGCCAATGTACAGCATTAAAAATCGTGCATACATTTCTATGGATTGTTACTAACATTAAAATTGACAGCATTAAACTAATATAAATTAGAGAGAAAGAATTTGATATAGTATATGATATCCATCATAGAAGTATTTTTCATAGAAAGAAACATATTTTCAGGTGATTGTGAATTTGTTGGGTTTTGTTTGTTTATACCGATATTTTATGTTGTGTTCCGTGGCATGTGAAGTCTTTGGTCTGTGGAGTTTTTGTTGAATCTTGTGTGTTTCGTGGACATGCGAAGTATTTACTGTGAGTGTGGAGTTTTTGTCGTTTCTTGTGTGTTTCGTGGACATGCGAAATACTTAGTGTGAGTTTGGAATTTTTGTCGTTTCTTGTGTGTTTCGTGGGCAGTGAAAGTTTTTTTAGTTTTTTATTTTTGGTAGAAAGCGAAGTTTTTTAGTTTGAGGTGTGGATTTTTGTTTTGTTGCGCGTTTGGTGTTGCTTTGTGTTGAGTGTTTGTGAAGTAATTAGTTTTATGTTTTTTATGTTTGTATTAACTTTTGTATTGTGAGAAGAGAGAGATTTTTACCACTTGACGCTTTATTTGTTCGACATTTGCAACTCAAAGACCTGTGCATATGCATGAAGCAAGAGAAATATCAAATATGAGAGCAAATAAAGAGAAAATTACTTCATTCTTTATGAAAAAGAGACATGAGGAACATAATAACTTATCTTATGAGTTGTGTTAATACGATTCCATACTTCAACTTTGGATCCTTTGTATCTTGAAGTGTTGGAGCTCTGAAATAAAGATTAAAAAAAAATAGATTAACAGATTTCAATTCTTCTTACCAATAATTCTATCACTCTGCAAGCAAAATATTATTCTTTCTAATCTTTTGACAATACGCTACAATTAAAGATAGAAGAAAATATTTAAAGAGACAGAATCTTACTGATATGTTTCCTTGCTTCAAGGTAACACTAGAAGTCGATTTTGAAATCTTTGAAACAGCTTTCAACACAAGCCCCGCTAAAGCTTTTGATGATTGAAATAGTTCTGAAGAAAAACTTTGTTAGCATGAACTAGAAGAATGGGAAACAAAGAGGAGAGAATCAGACAACCATGTACCTTGAACAAATCATGGTCTTAATTTTAAAAGCATACAATTGACAGGCCTTGGTTCTCTTTTGTTATTCTTTTAATTTGAGAAAAAATGCACACGAACATTCAGATATTGGGTTATAGGCTTCTAGTCATGAATAGAACAAGCCTATAACCCATGGATACCTACCGTTCCTTGTCCACTGACTCTGAAGATCTCAAAAATGTATCATCCGTCAGCAGTTTTTTGCACATCTAACCATTTGAACCTGAAAAGTATCATTAAAGTCATTACAAATATACCTTAACACTGTTAAAACAAATGAGGCAATATGAAAATTTTAGATAACTCCCCAATGACCATCTTACGATTTGCTTGTAAGGTTCATAAATGTATACAATCCATAAAGTCACTTAATGCAACAAGCTGTTTTGTCAACCAAGGATTCCTTCCTACTGTTTCTTGTCCACAGACTTGTAAGATCTCTGAAATGCATCCTTCGACTGGTTTTTGTACATCATCGGATTCAAACCTAGAAAGATTCATAGAAGCATACCAAATTGAAGTCATTATAAAAAGACCTAATCAATGTTAAAACTGATGAGGCTGTCGAAAAAATTTAGATAAGTCGCCACCATTGCGAGTTGCTTGCAGGTTTCAGTAAAGGTATAGCATCCACAATGTCAATAATCCAGGAAGATGTTGTGTCAGCCAATGAAAACGCTCTTTATGTTCTTTTACTTCCATTTTTCCATCTGTTAGCAGGCTATTATAATGTAAGAATCAGTAGCAATAAAATAAAAAATGACAGGCCTAAGGAAGATCAATACCAACCATTTTGTCAAGACGCACATAACCAAAGCTCAAGCCACATATCAATAGCAGCCAAAGTGCAACCTCTCATAAGCTTATTTTTTTCACCGAGATACTTCAGATCATCTAATTGAATTCCCTGATAGATCACTCACGTATTTGGTAAAAATGGCCTACAGTGATTGTGAATTCCCTGATAGATCACTCACATATTTTCAGGTGATTGTGAATTTGTTGGGTTTTGTTTGTTTATATGGATATTTTATAGTGTGTTCCGTGGCATGGAAGTTTTTGGTATGTGGAGTTTTTGTTGAATCTTGTGTGTTTCGTGGACATGCGAAGTATTTAGTGTGAGTGTGGAATTTTTTTCGTTTCTTGTGTGTTTCGTGGGCAATGAAAGTTTTTTAGTTTTTTCTTTTTGGTAGAAAGCGAAGTTTTTTAGTTTGAGGTGTGGAGTTTTTGTTTTGTTGTGAGTTTGGTGTTGCTTTGTGTTGAGTGTTTGTGAAGTAATTAGTTTTATGTTTTTTATGTTTGATGTTTGTGTTAACTTTTGTGTTTTGAGAAGAGAGAGAGAGATTTTTACCACCTGACGCTTTATTTTTCGACATTTGCAACTCAAAGACCTGTGCATATGCATGAAGCAAGAGAAATATCAAATATGAGAGCAAATAAAGAGAAAATTACTTCACTCTTTATGAAAAACAGTCATAAGGAACATAACAACTTATCTTATTATCTTATGAGTTATGTGTTAATACGATTCCATACTTCAACTTTGGATCTTTTGCATCTTGAAGTGTTGGAGCTCTGAAATAAAGATTAAAAAAAGCTAATTAGATAAACAGATTCCAGTTTTGTCTTACCAGTAAATTTATCACTCTGCCACCAAATATTATTCTTTCTAATCTTTTGGCAGCACGCTACAATTAAAGATAGAAGAAAATATTTAAAGAGACAGAATCTTACTGATATGTTTCCTTGCTTCAAGGTAACACTAGAAGTCGATTTTGAAATCATTGAAACACCTTTCAACACAAGCCCCGCCAAAGCTTTTGATTGTTCATATAGTTCTGAAAAAATAACATTGTTAGTATGAAACTAGAAAAATGGGAAACAAAGAGGAGAAAATCAGACAACCATGTACATTGAACAAATCATGGTCTTTTTTTAAAAAGCATACTATTGACGGGCCTTGGTTTTCTTTTGATATTCTTTTAATTTGAGAAAAAAATGCACACGAACATTCAGATTTGGGTTATAGGTTTCTAGCCATGAATAAAACAAGCTAACCCAAGGATACCTACCGTTCCTTGTCCACTGCATCTGAAGATCTCGAAAATGCATTCGTCAGCAGTGTTTTGCAAATCTAACAATTTGAACCTGAAAAGTAATCATTGAAGTCATTACAAATATACCTCAACAATGAGGCAATATGAAATTGTTAGATAACTCCCCAATTACCATCTTTATGGTTGCATATAGGGTTCAATAAATGTATACAATCCATAAATGTCAACCAAGGATTCCTTCCTACTATTTGTTGTCCACAGACTTGCAAGATCTCTGAAATGCATCCTTGATTGTTTTTTTGTACAGCTGTGGATTCGAACCTGGAAAGATTCATAGAAGCATACCAAATTGAAAGTCATTACAGAAAGACTTAATCGATGTTAAAACTGATGAGGTGGTTTAAAAAATTTAGATAAGTTCACAATCATTGCGATTGCTTACAAGTTTCAGTAAAGGTATAGCATCCACAATGTTAATATTCCCGAAAGATGTTGTGTCAGCCAATGAAAACGCTCTTTATGTTCTTTTACTTCCATTTTTCCATCTGTTAGGGAGCTATTATAATGTAAGAATCAGCAGCAATAAAATAAAAAATGACAGGCCTAAGGAAGATTATTACCAACCAAGACGCACATAACCAAAACTCAAGCCACATATCAATAGCAGCCAAAGTGCAATCTCTCATAAGCTTATTTTTGTCACCGAGACACTTCAGATCATCGAATAGAATTTGCTGATAGATCACTCAAGTATTTAGTAAAACTGGCACACAGTCATATTTTCCATAGAAAAAATATTTTAAATGCTTGACATGTATCACCAACCTTGATTTTCTTCTCGAAAGCTACTTTCATGGATGCTAAAAGACCTCCATCTCCAAAGGTAATCATATAGCATTACATGACTTGTTACTTTCCAAAAGTCGTCTCCGTAGACCATAAACAATTATCCTATAAAACGTGACAACTGAGAAATATCAGTACAGATAACAAGAAGGATTCATGACTAATTTTGGAATGAAAAACTAAAGAACTACAACAAAACTCTTGATTTCATACCAGTTCCAGTTGGTTGAATACGTTTATTAGCCTCTTCCATAATTTTCTCTACTGTTAACTCCATATTCATCTACAAATTTTAAAAAGACTCAGTTTCAATTCTAAAGCTTATCACAAATTTCCAAAAAAAAATCGTTCAGTTTAGACAATAAGGAAGATTTTCAATTTGTACAACACCTTCAAATCAGGGACTCTTATAACCCTTTACAGATAACTTCTCTAGGTGAACCATACACCATACCTCTAGCAGAGGTTGGTATTAAAGCAATCGTCTTAATAACTCTCTTTGGAGCCGCAGGTCCCTGCTGAAAGGAATATAAGTACAACAAGAAAACAACAAGAAGTCCAAAAGACAATCCACAAAAATGTACCTCAAAGGGGTTTTCTCATATTCGGTGTCCAATTCACTTAGTAGTGAAGGTTTGACATCATTAAGAAACTCTCTGATATCATGAAACAGAAACAACACAGTTTAATTCAGTTATCAAGATATGTTCATCTAACAAAAACATTTTATACATAACAAAAGCAGCTTATAGAAATTTGTAGACCTAGACCAATAAATGTGTTGTAAAGTATCTCAGAGATTTATTATAGCATATTTTATGCCACTTGCTGAACCTACATTTCCAAGTAATATGCTCATGTACTTCTACAAATTATTTTGCGAGAATAGTTCAAATAATGCATATAAGCATACCTGCATATCATCACAAGGTTAAGATTTCCATTGACTTGTCTAGTTCTTGACTTCTTGTAGACCTTCTATCTATTCTTTCAAAGCCACAGATGCAGCATGGCAATATAATACGAACAAATCACCAAACTGATAGATACCAAGAATAAAAAGGAAAATAATTATAATCTTTAAGCAACACGTTACAGTTAAATATAGAAGAAAGTATGATAAGAGCAGAATCTTACCGATATGTTTCATTGCTTCAAGCCTTCAAGGTTACACTAGAAGTCGATTTTAAAATCTTTTAAACACCTTCTGACACTAGCCCCGCCATAGCTTTTTGACGATTCAAATGGTTATAAAGTTAACCAGAACTAGAAAAAGAGAACAGAGAGGAGAGAATCAGACAGCATTGAACAAATCATGGTCTTACCTTTAAGCATACCTGCATATTATTTTCTCATTCCAACAGAAACACAAGCACACCTGATTTGTTTTCAAATTTCTTTTGAAGACCATCTTCGCAAGCTAAAATTGAAAATGATAAAATATTAATACCGCAAATGTCTCAAAGAAAGACAGAGCTAATAACGATAACAATTGATAAGGTAATCACTTAGCATATGTGAATTCCACCAAAAAAGATAAATCATACCACAATATCACGTAGTCGAAACACGAGCATATGGTGCATAGGCAAAACTCTTACTGGCCATCTTACAATTCTATCAAACTGCTGTATGTACAGTGGCTTGCAAATGAAAAACTAAGTGTGAAGCAATGTGATAAACTCAAACAACGCAAAAGATAAAATATATAGATAGTGCATAATCAATTCAAAAGAGGATTTGTAGTACCAAGTACATGGTGAGGTGTTTGTCAAGACACGCTTGCCTTCGACCTGTCACCCCATTTGCAAAAGTATGGACTAGTTCTATACTAAAGAAGCCACTTAAAATGGAAAATGTATGAATGCATGAATGCATGAATGTATGAATGTATGAATGTATGAGTGTATGTATGAATGTATGAATGTATGCATGTATGAATGTATGAATGTATGCATGTATGCATGAATGTATGAATGTATGAATGTATGAATGTATGAATGAATGTATGAATGGATGGATGGATGGATGCTTGAATGTGTGTATGTATGTATCAATGAATGAATGCATGAATTGTGTATGTCTCCTATCTGCAATCAAGAAAGACTTGAAAACAAGAGCAAGAATCAAACCTGAGACACAGTGATGCATAAAAAATTAAAACCAAAAACAGAGGAGCACAAAACCATATTTATCTTGGATTACTAGCCACCACAACGTTCTCTTTTACCAGATATTTCTCTTGATTCGAACCTCGTTCACGGCCATCAAGCACTTTCCGGATCATCTATTTGATAGTATCCAATGGATTTAATGTCCTTGACGATGCTGAATCGGAATCCCCTTGATCTTCCTATCAAAACCAAAGCAAAGAAATCACAAAAACCATCATAGAGATGAAATAACAAAAATGAAACGACCTCTGGGATTATAAAAGCAAGATAGTTAACATATGATTTGGGATAAATTAAGTATCAATAACAATAATCGAATCAAGTAACAAAAATACACAATTCATAAACAGATGAGAATGATCAGAGTTTGCCTCGACGGAACCCTAGTTCTGGGTGTTTGCTATCTCGTGTAATAGACCTTAGATTTGATCACCTTACCGGACTGAGACAACACCGTTTTGATCGTCGGTTAAAAAAACAAGACAACCGGTTGAAAAAGTACTAGTACTCAACTTCTACTGACATTGATGCAAATTGAACAATTTAGGGTTTCGAAAAAAACTGAGAGACATCGAAGAGAAGGATTTGCTTACCTGATGAAAACATGTTGATTCCCTAATCCGATAAGACCAGATTACGCTGTTGAAATTGAAAATTTTCATAAGAAATCGACAAAAACTAGAAGAAGGATTTAGACCCAGCGAAGAGGTTTTGAGACGTTTGTTTGAGTCGATGAAGAAGATCGAGAGCTTTTAATGTACGAGCGAGAGAAATTAATAAAAAAACAACACAGCTTCATTCGTATACCGTTAAACATGCAATTACTAAAATATCCTCAACGTTTAGATTTCAAATTTCGTATTACCGTTAGAGAGTCAGTTCTAAAAAGTTTAACCGGACAACCTCTCATTTAACCCGTTATATAGAGACCATTGATTTTAAACTTACCCAAATACCTCTTTCGAATTTAGGACTAAAGTTTTCATATTTCTGGTTAATAAAGTCAAAACCGGTTAAAGGTGGTTCTTCCAGTTTTCATCTTGAATTTGGTTTTGGAACATTTTAAAATTCATTTCTATAGCTCACTATATTTATTATGATTTATCTTTGCTGTAGCCGCATGTAGGTATCAAATGTAACGGACTCTGCTAAAATCAGGAAAACATATATTTACGAAATAACACTTTCTCATACTATAGAACACAGGTTACATAGATGCAAAATGTTGCTCATTATTATTGCTACATAGATGCAAAATGTTGTTATTGAGAAAAAAAGAATTTCCTTTACTCTATAGTATAAGCAAGACAAAATTTAGCCCATGTTAACAAAGTTATCAGCTTTTTTGGTCCATTCGTCAAGACTTGAAAGTATGTCCACTACTATAACCGCATAAGCCAATTATATACTCTACAAATATATGTATAAATCAGAAGTAATTTGGTTTACAAAGTAAAAGTATCATATGATCATCTATGTTTCTTCTTCCTCTGATTGAACTCATACGTATATCCCTAAAACAACCTCCTTCGGCGCAGTTTCAACCATCCAGGGTGGCCTTTAGATCAGAAGAAAGACATGAAAAGACATTATTAAATTAAAATAGAATAGGAGATAAAGAATCGATATCTGCCGATTAGGAAGAAAAAATAACATCATTGGCTTACTTGTTCAGTATGAAATTGAATGTTCCTTGCGATGCACGTTTGAGAAGAACCTCCCTTGCCTCTTCTGCGATCCCTTGAGGCTGTAGAAGAAACACTTCAATATTATTTTCCATTTTAAACAAAAATAAGCTTTAGGTCGTTTTTGGGAATCTAGAGAGACCTCTTCTGGAAACCAAACCCCTGGTTGTGTGCTTCCTTCAAGCATTGCTACAACAAAAGCCGCTGTCGAAACTCCAACAGATCTATAAACCCAACATATTTTAGTTCTCATACATAGATTTGCATATATGTATATATATATATATATATGCTATTATAAGGATGTTAAGGAGACTCACACGGATAGTGATTTATGACTAAATAACCCAACTGTGGTCCGTCCATCCGAGCACTCCAAATCAACCTTCCCATAGAGTTCAACATAAGTAACAATGAGTAACCGAAATAACTGATGCAAATTCTTTTGAAATTCTCTGTTTTTCACTTACTCTCATCGAGACACGCTCTCCAGCAAAGCCATCCATGGCTCTAACGACAGGATCGAACAGATCTACCATTTGTTGGACTTTCGTTTTGTCCCTAAGGACTTCCTGCAGCGTGCAAGACAAGCATTTCAATTTGATTATAGGAAGGGATCTGATTATCGTCCTATATCATGGAACCAGTGATTTAGGAAAGGTCAGAGTATTATACCGGTGGTAAGAGTTTTGTCATGATCTCCATTCCCCAGTTCCAGAAGAAAGGAGCTGTGCCAAACCGTGCACTGACAGTTGGCACTCCAAGAATCTCATGAGTTGATCTAACTTCTGGCAAATTCCTGAAAATAACCACTGTTCTTGGCAAATTCTTTTTGGGATGTCAACGATACTTTTGATATGTAGGAGCAACTTACAAAAGATAAACGTCTCTTTTCCTGATGCCTTTTCCAAAATCTACACTCATCATTCCACTGTAAGGTCTTAGTTTCACCTTCTCTCCTGATCAAGTCCCACAATACAAGGTTGAGAAAATATCTGAAGGAGTAATATCTTTTAATTTCTAAGAGTTTGAAGTCCGATAACACTTACCTTGTTTATATGCAGTAACTTCCTCACCAAGAAGTAGAAAACTGGTGGCTAAAATTGTAGGCCCTGCACCGCCAGTGCCTGCTGTGTAATAAGAGAACCTGATATGACATAACCAGAAACGAAAAAATCTGAGTCAACTACAATAGAAAAATATTGTTGCAATATGAAATCTAGAGTTTCACTTATGAATTACGATGAGAAACATCAAAGAAAGATTGTTGCGTTACCTCAATTTCTCTGGCTTCCCTTTGTCTTCGCTTCTTGCTGCAGCGACCATTTCTGCCGCAATGACTATGAGAAAGTTAAAAACATGTTAAGTTATTGCAGCAATCAAACACACTCAAGCTTAAAGGACATGTGTTCAAATTTAACACCATTGCTAACTCCTGGATATATTCCAGCTGTTGTTATCGCTGGGATATTTGCAGCAATTGCCTCAGCCTGAAGAGATTTTGCACGGAAAGCATAGCTTGTGTCGTCACAAACATCGACATATGCAGTCTGTTTGGTTCAGATAGAAACCACAAAAAATTCTCTGTAAGACTCATTTCCTAAACTCAAACCAAGCAAGAGTACTGCTCACGCATTTTTAACAAATTAAAGTTTGGTGACATTAGAAAATGTTATTTTTTTACCTTATCCTCACCTTGGTCTTTATGGCAGCTTCAAGAACCGTGCATCGAGGAGCTTGCTGAAAAGGTCCAGCGGCATGGACTACAAGATCAACGTCTGGATTCCCACATTTCACGGTGAATACTCAAATAATAAACTTCGAAGCCCAAAAAATAAAAATAAAATCGTAGATAAACCTTGAACTTGTCTAAAAAATTCATCAGCAGTCTCAAATTAAATCCCAATATCCCTTCTAATTGTCCAAAAATCATATCGAAGCTCAAACATATACACCTAATTTGGATATCTCTTTGGTAAATAGAAACAAACCTCTTAAACTAGTCTCAAGCATCTTGGCGTCATTGATATCTACTTGAGCAAACTCAGAATTCTCTCCAAGCTTGGCCACCATTGCTTCACCCTTCTCTCTGTGCACAGAGGATTGATTCATCAGGCACAGAGAAATAAGTATCTCAATGAATTTTCATCTTATTTAAATTCTCGCAAACCTGTTCCGGCCACCGACGAGGATCTTAAGCTTGGGACATAGCTTAGCAAGAGCAGTAGCAGTAGACCCGCCGACCCGACCCGTTCCACCCAGCACCAATACCCGATAGTTCCGAGTAGGATCGGAGAGCTTAACCTCCGGAACGCCGTCATATTGCGTTTCGGTAGACGAAGCAGCTCGTATCGTCGCTCCGTACGGTTGCAACAGCAGAGCTCGAGCCATTCTCCGTCTCTCACTCACCTCATCTCGTTTTAGCAGTTTTATCGTAGGGATGACGTGGAACTGATGACGTGTAAGAATTTGAACGGGATAAATTATATGGGCTTTTTTTCTAGTCCAGTAAGTAAAAATAGATGGGCCTTATAGATACGTTGGTCTAAAGACTAAAGGAAGAAAGGGATTATGCATTTTTCTTGTTTTTTTTGTTTCTGGTTAAGTTTTGAACTTGTTATTTACATGTAGACAAGAGTAGTCGTATTCGTATTTAAAAAAAGCACTAGGTCCGGACCCGCGCTACAGCGCGGAGGAAAAGTTTCGGTTTTTGTTATTTTGTGTATCAGAATTTTGTTATCGAACCCGCGCTATAGGGTGGCGGAGAGTTATCGAGCTATTATTAATATAGGTTTATTATCGGATCCGCGCTATAGCGCGGGGGAATGATTTTGGGTTTTTATTTAACGTGTTATATAGTTTTGTTATTATTTTGTTTATCTGGTGTCAAATTTTTGGCAAAGTGTATTAAAATAATCTAGAGTTGAATAAAAATTGATTAATTAGTATATGGATTTTTTTAATAATTAGGATCTATGGTTACATTTATGTATTAATGTTTTTCCTTATAAATTCGAAAAATAATTTAGAAACTATATTAAAATGGCGTTAAAATGGTGTTATATAGTCGGTAAAGCAGAGTTTCTTTTGTCATCTTTAAAATGGTGTTAGATTTTGCTATATATACACTTAATTTTAAAATAGTAAATACGTTTTTTTTTTTTACTTTTTATATAGCAATCTCTTTTTTGGTTATATATATATTTTTAAAATCTTCATATATTTAGGTAAATAAATGTTCACACTTAGATTTTTTATACACCACCCTATTTTTAACGAATATGTAATTTTATTATTTGAATCATGCATATTCTATTTAAAATTTTACATATTTCAAAAATTCATATTCTATATTTAAATAACTAAATCGTAACTATTAAGATTTTATAGTTATGATATTTAATAAAATTTTGAATCGATTAACAATAAAATCACAAGATTGTGGTATAATTTACATATTTAAATATTTTTCTAAAGATTGAGATCTATTTTAGGTAAATTTTACCATAATTCCTTAAAATAAGCTGTCTTTTTCTTAGTGCAATAATGGCAAGTATCCGATTGAAAATTTAACCTGGAATTCTTTAAAAATACCGACCCAAATCCCTTGTGTACTTCTCTTTTACTATAGTAGGGATTAGCTATACGGTATTTGAATATATATAAATATCTGAGAAATATAATTATACAAAAACGTGTATGAAAATTAAATGTAATCACATAAGCTTTAATAAATGCGAAATTAAATTTAGAAGAGGAAAAAGAAGAAAAAGGAAAAAACGATGTGTTGGTGGCGAAAAAAGAAAAGAAGAGAAAGAAAGCGTAGCGTCAGCGAAGGGTAAGCAGGTGACGTGTCAAGTCACGTGACCACAATCTGAGACCAAAACGCGGAGAACCTCTAGGGTTATTATTATAGACAATATAGACCCCCACACACACATACGAGGGGCAAAATGGTAAATATAACGAAACGTGTAGGTGTAGGTCCTTTTGTTGAGTGGCAGTGAGCTGTCAAACTGGGGAAGAGCGAATTTTTCTTTTTTCTTTTTTTTTCTTTTTTTTTTTGTTTTGTTTGTGCTTCTTCTTCTTCTTCTACATCTTCTTAAATCGCAACGTGCGTTTTCATGGGCTCTGACGCTGTTTGTCCCTCCAGTCCTCACCATTGTAGTAGATATTTTCTTTTAAATTAATTTCCCAACAATAAAAACATTTCTTTTCCTACACACATTATAAGAACAAAAAAATGTAAAAATAAAAATGCCAGCTTTTATGCGCCTGTTCGCCACATTCATACTACCACCAAAAGGACATTCGAATTTCTTTTTAAAATATATTATTATATATGTTAATTTATTACAAACTTTTGAACTACTATAGTACATAATTTTACATTTAAAAACTACTCTGGAACATTTTGTTTTAATAAACACATTAGTTAGTAATTTACATTTTTTTAAATATACGTTAACATACATGCTTCCAACGGTTTGTATGCTTAACATTTTTACTGTTCATGAAACGGCTGTCATTTACGATGTTTGTTTTGTTTTGTTACGTGAATTGAATTAATTTAAATAAAACGACGAAAATAGCAAATTTATGGCTGGCAGAAAATAATAATGCCAATTCGCAAAAGGAAAAAAAAAAAGTTACATAATAATAAAAATTGCCAAGTTGGCTTATAAATGTAGGGCATGCCACACACAAAAAAAAAAAGTGAATATTACATTTCAATCCCTATTACGTTAGTGATTATTTATTGGACAAGATTTAGCCACGAGTCATTATCAATATTTTTTTTTTGCTAATTAAAGTATTCGATGGTTAAGACTTAAGAATTTTATTCTAATTATTAATAATATTTTTGGGGTCATGACTCATGAGAGATTCCCCCCAACGGCAAAAAGAGCACGCCGTTGAAATTCAATTCAAACCAGAGTCTTACTAAAATCGACCGGTCAAAGGTCAAACCAGTATTGCTCTTACTTTATTTTTCATCTTTTAAAATGATTTTTATGATTGGCAATTAAATTAGTTTACGTTTGGTAATCTCTCCTAACTGTAACTGAGAGATCTTAAAGTGTTGATTAAAGTAAAAAAGAGAGAGACGACTGGGCACGACGGTAATATTATAGATATCGAGAGGATAGAAATGGTAATTTTTACTTAGCGGTCGTATTTTCTAATTTTATTCACTTCGGTGATGACCCATACAACCAAAAACAATAAGAACATCGTTGATATGTTTTTAGAGTGGAGTCAATAATTGACAAAACAACTTCAAATTTCTATTTTTTTATCTATATAATAATGTTATTGAGGAAAAAGTTATTTTGTTTTCATTCAAAAAAGACTATTAGGTTGACAAAGAAGCTTTAGTTAACTATACTTATACATCAAATCTTTTTCACAGTAGCCCAAATCATTTTTTTTAATAATATACTCTTATGTTATTTTTATCAAATAAAAATACTAACCGGTAGTAAAAAAATGTATTTCAAAATTTTTTTTATTTACAATATTATTTTTTTGGGAAATATTATCAAAAGATAGACATAAACTAATTAAATGGACTGGTTGGTCCGGGTTACTCACGTTTATAGGGAATCTAATCGTCTAGCAGATGGGTTAGCCAACTATGCTTTTTCTTTACCGCTTGGTTTTTTATCTTTTGATGGTTGTCCAGCGGAGTTTGTTCCGCTGTTGTTGGAAGATACGAATGGGACTGGGATCCCTCGACGTGTTCGTTTGTAGTCTTGTGTTTTTCTTTTAATAAATAACAGGAGACTTTGTCTCCTGTTTCCGACCCAAAAAAAAAACTAATTAAATGGAGAATTTGTTATCTCAAAAATAATTAAATCGAAAATTAATTGAGGAAAATGAAAAAAAAAAACGAAACCGTCGACATCTAAAAAAGACGAGAGGGTATGTTGTAATTACGCTGATATACATATATATATATATATAAATATATAATCACTAGTTCGCTTTCCGAGCGTCTTCTCTCTCCTTCCGCTTTTGTCTCTGCCGAAATCCATAAATCTCTCTCTCTCTCTCTCTCTCTCTCTTCCTATTTAATCGTCACTTCACCGCCGGTGAGAAACTCGAGAGGGTTATTTGAACCATCGTCGGAGGTTACTGACGGTAAAACTCCATCGAATCGAGGTAGTTAGCTTACAGGTGGAGCAGTGACAGCTAAGTGAGAAAGGCGGCGGAAAATTAAAATTATTAAAAAAGCAAATAGAAGTCGAGAGAGCGCACACAAAAAAAAAAGTAAAAAAGTAGAAGTAGTTGTTGTCGATGATGATGACGAAGATGTTGGTGGAAGAGATTCGTATAGGGTTTTCTAATAAGCGGTGTTCGCTGTTTACGAACTCTTTATTGGAGTAAGTTAAAGCGCCAGAGAGAGTTTTTTTTTGTTTTTTTTGGGTGGTGGTGGTGGTGGTTGTGATGGGGAGAGTGGCGGTTGCGTTTGCCGCTGTTGCGGTTGTGGCGGCTTGTTCTGTTGCGGCGATGATGGTTGGAAGGAGACTGAAGAGTAGGAAGAAATGGAGGACTGTTGTTGAGATTTTGAAAGAGTTGGAGGATGATTGTGATACTCCCGTTGGGAGGCTGAGACAAGTTGTGGATGCTATGGCTGTGGAGATGCACGCTGGTTTGGCTTCTGAAGGAGGCTCTAAGCTTAAAATGCTCCTCACCTTCGTCGATGATTTGCCCACTGGGTAAGATTTTTTTTCTTTTTTTTTTTTCTGATTTGGGATTTTTTTTTTCCTTGGATTGGTTAACATTGGTTGAGTAATGTGTGAAAGATGAAGACTTTCTTCTGTCTCTTCTGTTTGTCAAGATTTATCAAGATTTAGTGATCTCAGGTTCTTTCTGGTTTCTCTACAGTACATAATCTAAAGTCTTTAATTTTACTCTTTGTTCGATCATGTTAAATTTGTTTGCTAAATGTTGTCAAATCGAATGTTTTGTTGCTTGATTCTTGCATATTACATTCTCTTGCTCAACGAGCTATTAAGGGTCTCTCGTATTCGAGCTTAAGTTGGAGCCAGGGAATTAAAAGAAGTGTCAGTGGGTACCATTTTGCAGGGACAGATCCTTTGATTCTGTTCTCTTCTTTTCGTTTATGTGAATTTTACATATCCGGTAAAAAGCTTTAAGGGCTTCTCCTTTTCTTTTCCTTCTCTCTTATCGCTTACCTTTACTTTGGTATCTTGTTCCTATCCACTAGATTGCTACTGCTCAAGGAAAATGAAACTGGTTTCTTCATATTGTAGCCATTGGATTCTCTCTTCTTTATTTGAGGAAACGTATTTCATTTTGTTTGCTGGTTTTAACTTTCGTATAGACTCAATCATTGTCACTACTAGACTGGTTGTTCAAATATTAACATCCAATCATTGCAGTTGTGTATTGTATTGCACTGACTTACTGCTTTTATTTCAGGAGGGAGAAAGGAACTTATTATGCACTTCACCTTGGTGGCACCTATTTTAGGATTTTAAGAGTTCATCTGGGTGCCCAAAGGTCCTATCTAGATGTTCAAGATGTTGAACGACATCCAATACCTTCGCATCTGATGAATAGCACCAGCGAGGTGACTATTTTGCTGTTTATTTCTTACCAGTCTTTGCATATTATATAATGTAAACTACTTAATTGAGTCTCTATTGATTTTTGTCTTCACATGATTGCAGGTTCTTTTCAACTTTCTCGCGTTTTCCTTGGAGAGGTTTATCGAAAAGGAAGAAAATGGGTCAGATTCACAAAGTGTTACAAGGGAACTTGCATTCACGTTTTCATTCCCTGTCAAGCATACTTCTATTTCTTCAGGAGTTCTAATCAAATGGACCAAAGGTTTTGAGATTAGTGAAATGGTTAGTATAATGAATACTTACGTTACTTTTTATATTTTTTGCAACCTGTGGTTGACTTTCAGATAATTTTTGTTAACTTTTAGAATAATTTCAGCTTGCACCAACTTGATAGAATTACACTCCTTAACATGAGTGAATGACCCTTAGTGTATCTATTAACTGTGTAATGATTTTGTGGCAACGCAATACATCTCTTGGAATTTGGTGTGAGTACAGCATAAGCTAAACAGTTAAATGATTGTATAAATTTAGGTTGGGAAAGACATAGCTGAATGTCTACAAGGAGCACTCAACAGAAGAGGCCTAAATATGCATGTTGCTGCTCTTGTAAGTGTTTTGTCACTGCAACGTAATCCTTTCTTTGGCAAATTTCTTGCACTTTGAGTGACAATTCTTTGATTTTTCTTTTTCTGCCCATTTTTACAAGCTGGACTCCAATAAAATATCTATGTAGCTGCCCATAAATTCTGATGAAATGATGGTTTGTTCTGATTTCTGTTTCCTCTTTTGAGCAGGTGAATGATACTGTTGGAGCCCTGTCACTTGGATATTATCATGATCCAGACACGGTTGTAGCAGTTGTATTTGGAACAGGTAGTAATGCATGTTACTTGGAACGAACTGATGCCATAATCAAGTGTCAGGGTCTGCTTACAACTTCTGGAAGCATGGTACTAAGAACTATTTCGTAGTCTAATTGATAAACTAGCTAAATCATGCTTTAGATCCCAGAGAAATAAATGTGAAAGAATCATTCTTTCCTATTTTTCAGGTAGTCAATATGGAGTGGGGAAATTTTTGGTCCTCTCATCTGCCTAGAACTTCATATGACATTGACTTGGATGCTGAGAGTTCAAATTCAAATGATATGGTATTCTTTGCCTTGCTTTCCCTCTTTTACTGTTATGTATTGCCCAATGAGTTATCATTATCAGGTGAATCAGTTAAGATCTTTTGGGTTTCTCTTTATAGGGATTTGAGAAGATGATATCAGGGATGTATCTGGGTGACATTGTTCGTAGAGTAATTCTACGCATGTCACAAGAGTCTGATGTCTTTGGACCCACCTCGTCCGTATTATCTGAGCCTTACGTTCTAAGGTATATATCCTCTCGTTACCTCTGGCTTGAAATTTGATGATTGTCTAAATTGATCTTTCATCAAATATCTTCTGCCTCAACCCTCAATGAACATAGATAGTTTGATTTTCTGTATTAAATATCTAGTTCACAATGTATTTTTCTTTGTGTATTATCGAAATGACAAGCATGTCTACTTCTATCTCTCAGTACAAATTCAGTCTCAGCTATGCATGAAGATGACACACCTGAGCTGCAAGAAGTAGCAAGAATCTTGAAAGACTTGGGGGTAAGTTAACATGTTCACAATTATAGCACCTTTGATGGAACTTGATGTTGGAAAATGTAATTAAAACTTGTAATTACAAATGAACAAAACAGGGATCAGATGTCCCGTTGAAGGTGAGAAAACTAGTGGTGAAAATATGCGATGTGGTTACACGAAGAGCAGGGAGGCTAGCTGCAGCAGGGATCGCAGGAATCTTGAAGAAGATAGGGCGAGATGGGAGTGGAGGAATCACGAGCGGGAGAAGCAGAAGCGAAATCCAAATGCAGAAAAGAACAGTAGTCGCAGTAGAAGGAGGTTTGTACATGAACTACACCATGTTTAGGGAATACATGGAAGAAGCTCTGGTGGAGATATTAGGAGAAGAGGTGAGTCAATACGTAGTAGTGAAAGCCATGGAAGATGGTTCTAGCATTGGCTCTGCCCTCCTCGTTGCCTCGTTACAGTCATGAATCAATCATTCATAGGCTGCGTTCGTATTTATGGTTTATATAAATTGGTTATGTTCGTCCGTGTGTGTGTATATAAATTATTCAATATTCGTTTGTTGTTAATTATTATTATTATTATTGTTATTATTCATATATAGCTTTTGTGTAAATAATGTTTAGGAAGGTTTTATATTATTTTTTTTTTGGTTTCTTCTAATGTGTATTAGAAAAGGGATAGGTATTGGGTGTTTTTTAAGAAATGATTTACAATATGTAAAGGTAATGATGATGATAAACGAAATGTCAAATTGGTTTTTTTTTGTTGTTGTTGCTATTATTTAGTGCCAAAGCCTACTACTATAACGACAACAATCTTTGCTTTGTAGATCCGATTTGATGAAAGAAGAAAATAATCTTCTCTTTTCTATCTTAGCTTTTGTAGCTAGCTAGCTAGCATCATCTTTCCAAGAGAATAATGTTTCATAATTCATATAATAAAAATCTATTGAATCATGCAAGATAGCTTCCTCTTCAAATGCAAATAGAGAACTCCATCAGACCACAGCCTCTGCAGCTTTGCCATTCATCTCACTACTGATTTTAAAAAGCACTTTGCAAACATGCTTGTGTCTCTCTACTCTCTAGCATCAATTTTAAATCCACTTTTAAGAACTTGCCCCCACGACACATATGTTGTATGTCTCAATCTCATTGGTCACCCATATTTCCATCATATGATCTTTAGTTTCTCCACTCTGATATAATTAACAAAAATTATAATGTTCTTGTCTCACAACAGAGAGAGCCATAGTATCATTAACTTGTGCTTCTATTTGATGAAAGGCCGGCACACACAGAGGGTTGAAAAATCAAAACTCTATACCTCCCCTTGCGTTGCATCTTCCTCGACAAAAATAAAAAGTAACAAAAGACACTTCAATTCACTAGTGGGCTTTGCTAGTTTTGCTATAGTGGCTGGCTACGCTTACAGATAAAGGGTGCAACCGTCATTTCCAATGCTTTCAATCTATACTATTAATTGGGAAGGACAACTTGAAGGTAAACACCCCCAATTTTGAAAAAACAATTTCATGAAATATATTCCAGTTGCCAAACAGAATTAATGACAACAAAAAAAAAAAAAACAAAAACTATCTATATTTATGGAAATCATAATAATCTTTTACCATAAAAAGTGGACAATTAAATTCAAAATTAAATATATGTAAACATATCTATTTTGAATATACATAAACATATTTAATATTTTAATATACTTTCGAAATTAATAATTTATATAGAATGAAATCTAATAAAACAGAATCATCATATATCTAAAAAAACAAAGAAAACATTTTTTTTAGAAAAATCAAAAGATAACAAAATATGTTAGCATATGAAATAATCAACTAATCAAATTCTACATAGTATATATACATAACTGATCATATCATCAAATTTTAAAAAATTATATAATTTTAAAATTTAAATAAAATTTAAATAAATCAATAATTAAATATTTGTTTGCTAAAATCATGCGAATAAACATTTTAGATCACATAAATTTCTTATTTTCACATTAAAAAAATATTCATATTCAAAAAGCAATCTAGCAATTATAGCACAAAAGATATCTACAAAATTTATCATTAATTCAATTAGTTAATGATTTTTTATTTGTTCAAACAGTTAGTTAATGCTTATTCTAAACTTCTTTTTTCTTATTAATTTTACACAATCTTAACAAAATAAATCTTCATCCATGGCAATTTACATATCATTACTATTATCAAATATTAAATAATTGATTTATCAAATCATAAACTACATTTTGAGAGTATAAACATATAGAATTTCTATTAAGATTAAAACTAAATAACAAGTGGATATATCACATTTAAATGATCTTAACGACTTATTACCAATTTTAAATAATAAATGGATTATGTTTTTATGATTTAATCTAATTGAAAACAAATAAAATGTCAAATTGGTATGATATAAATGATATAATAAATAAATATCTACAAACATTATCTCACATATACGTACAATTTTAAACTATCCTTGACAAATATGATATATAAGTTTTGGATAACCGGTTGAAAAAAAAAAACTGGTAGTTATATTTAACTCTCAAAATCTCAAAATGTTGAACAAAATTCAACTTTGGGACGTATAAATCTCTACTTTTGGACGATTATATAAAATTTTACATATATTAAAATTATATTTAGTTACATGTAAATGGTGTTATTTATTAAAAAAAATATAAACTTATAGGAATGGATATGAGACGGGAACATATAATTCGAAAAAAAAAACATTATCTGAATTATTTCTCATAAAAAAACAAAACATGATTAGATATAATTGTTATGAGACATGGTCATAAAGTTAATTTCACTTTCAACTTTCAAATATAAAACTACGAGTACGATACGAGGACATGTAATTTAAATTGTTAAATTTAATTTCCACTTTCCTATTAATTTCAAATATTTAGAAATATTTAAATGACGAGAAGAAGATAACGTATACTTCGGATAACAAAACTACAATAAATCCATGTATTAAAAAAATAGAGATACTTAAATCTTTAGAAAACAAAAAGGCTAAAACATGAATCGTTGAATTGAAGAAAGTAATGAGAAATAAAGATGAAACTGAAAGATCAGTAAAATTAAAAATCGAACAAGGATTGTGTACGCTAGGATTACAGACAGTGTCTTGTGAATGAAAATGGTGGGAGCATGTGACTTAGATTGATAATTAGATTTTTATTAGTTTGATAAAAATAAATATTTAAACGAGGAATACGGGTATCCTGTCTAAATCTTTTACCAAGTTTTTTATAATAAACATTGCCAAATGATTATGTTTTAAAAAGAAACGATTATGGGACGAAGATTTTATGACAGATAGAAGACGGGATGGGACGGGGCGGGACGGGACGGGTCAGGACGAGACGGAAAGGGACATGACGGGTTTTCCATTATAAACTACACATAAAACAATTCAAAGTAAAGCTAAACCCAAATCCGATTTAACATGTCTAAGCAAACAGTTAGAAGTGTTTTGATTAGTTTAAAAAATAAACACGTTATATCACTTATCATTTTCATTTAAATAATTTTAAAATTGTATTATGTAATACAATATCTATATTTTACAACTGTATGTCTATATATAGTTTATCAAATATACTCATATAACAAAATTTTACCAAAATAGCATCTAATTAAAAAATCGTAATTTTGTAAAAATAACCCCGCACGTACGTGCGGGTCCATCACTAGTAATTTATTAAAAAGGTGAAAGAAAAGGGAAAAAAATATAACTCAAAAACAAATAATATCATCGTCCTCTCATTGGTTGGATGATACTGAGTAATGAGTAGATGATACTGAGGGTATTGGGTTGAAAAATCAAAACTCTATACATCTCCCCTTGCATTGCATCTTCCTCGACAAAAATAAAAAGTAACAAAAGACACTTCAACACTAGTGGGCTTTGCTAGTTTTGCAATAGTGGCTGGCTGCGCTCATAGATAAAGGGTGCAACCGTCATTTCAAATGCCTTCAATAATTTATTAAAAAGGTGAAAGAAAAGGAAAAAAAAATATAACTCAAAAACAAATAATATCATCGCCCTCTCATTGGTTGGATAAACATGTAACTTTCAAAGGTAAAATCATTAATAAATATATATAAATGGTTATATCGTCGCCCTCTTCCATCTTCTTCTCATCCACTTCCAGCGTAAGATCAGACTTAGTCCAAATCCAAAAGAGAACAAGACTTCGAGAGAGTGAGAGAGCACTGAGAACGATGACTTCACCATCAACAAGAAAGCTTCACGTTGTTTCACCTGTTCCTGCTGATATCGATATAGCTAATTCCGTCGAGCCTTTACACATCTCCCAGATTGCTAAAGATCTCAATATCGACCCTCTTCACTACGATCTCTATGGCAAGTATAAAGCTAAGGTAATCATTCCCCTTTTGCTTTATTTCTCTCAAAAAAAATGATTTATTCATACTGTATGTATATCTCCCCCTGTCTGTCTCTACTCTAGGTTGTTGTCGGTTTGGGACTTGTCACACATGTTTTGTGATTAGATTGAACAAGGATCTTTCAAGAACTCTGTTTTTGGCTATATGATACTGTTTGTTCTAATTGGTTTGAATCATTTTTTGTTCAAAAACATATTAATTATCAAGAGATTGCTAAAGACTGAGTTTTTATGAGCTTGAGCAGGCTGTTACGTAGACTCAAAGTTTATAACTTTCGATTGATTTTGGCTTCTTTTTGCCTTTATCATACCAATTACTAGCTCTCTTTTTATTGTTCAGTATTCTATTACTTATTTTTGTCGGTAGTTTCTGATCTGATTTAGTGCTTCGGTTTTCTGATCTAACTAACTGATGATCTGTTCTTTCTAGGTTTTGTTGTCTGCCTTTGATGAGCTTCAAGGACAAGAAGATGGTTACTATGTTGTTGTTGGAGGGATTACTCCGACTCCTCTTGGAGAAGGCAAGAGTACTACCACTGTTGGACTTTGCCAAGCCTTAGGCGCTTACCTCGATAAGAAGGTTTATATCTTTCTCTCTTGCTTTTGTATGAGCTTCTCTTTTTGTGTTGATTTTTGAAGTTTTGTTGCTTAGGTTGTTACTTGTCTTCGCCAACCATCACAAGGACCAACCTTTGGAATCAAAGGAGGTGCAGCCGGTGGTGGGTATAGTCAGGTGATCCCTATGGATGAGTTCAATCTTCATCTCACTGGAGATATTCACGCGATCACTGCTTCCAACAATCTCTTAGCTGCTGCAATCGACACTCGGATTTTCCATGAGACATCTCAATCCGACAAGGCTCTTTTTAATAGGTTGTGCCCTCCTAATAAAGAAGGGAAGCGTAGTTTCAGTGACATTATGTTCAGGAGATTGACAAAGCTTGGGATCTCCAAGACCAGTCCTGAGGAGCTTACTCCCGAGGAGATAAAGAAATTTGCTAGGCTTGATATTGATCCTGCTTCCATCACGTGGAGAAGAGTGATGGATGTTAATGACCGGTTCTTGAGGAAGATTACTATTGGTCAGGGACCTGAGGAAAAAGGTATGACCAGAGAAACTGGTTTTGATATATCTGTTGCTAGTGAGATTATGGCTGTTCTAGCTTTGACAACCTCTCTGGGTGATATGAGAGAGAGGCTTGGTAAAATGGTGGTCGGTAACAGCAAGGCCGGGGATCCGATAACAGCGGATGATCTTGGTGTTGGAGGAGCCTTAACCGTTTTGATGAAAGACGCTATTAACCCGACACTCATGCAGACACTTGAAGGGACACCTGTCCTTGTTCATGCTGGTCCTTTTGCAAACATAGCTCATGGAAATTCATCGATTGTTGCTGATAAAATTGCTTTAAAGCTGGTGGGACCTGGTGGATTTGTGGTAACAGAAGCAGGTTTTGGTTCTGACATTGGGACAGAGAAGTTCATGAATATTAAGTGTCGTTACAGTGGATTAAAGCCTCAGTGTGCGATTGTTGTGGCAACTGTTAGGGCCTTGAAAATGCATGGTGGTGGGCCTGATGTTGTTGCCGGGAGGCCTCTTGATCGTGCTTATGTAAGCGAGAATGTTGCCTTGGTTGAAGCTGGATGTGTGAATTTAGCAAAGCACATCTCAAACACAAAGGCTTACGGTGTGAATGTAGTTGTTGCTGTGAATATGTTCTCAACGGATACCGAAGCAGAACTGAATGCAGTTAGAAAATTTTCAATGGATGCTGGTGCTTTTGATGCTGTGATTTGTTCCCACCATGCTCATGGTGGTAAAGGAGCGGTAATCTTCTCTCTTTGAAAACTAATATTTTCTGATGACAGTAGATATGCAACTTTTGTTTGTGATCCCAGCTTAAAAAATGAATTGTTCTTGGAAATGTTGTAGGTGGATCTTGGTATTGCGGTTGAAAAAGCTTGTCAAAACATTACACAGCCACTTAGGTTCCTCTATCCATTGGACATTAGCATCAAAGACAAAATTGAGGCCATAGCTAAGTCATATGGAGCCAGTGGTGTTGAATACTCAGACCAGGTGATTGATTCCTGGACCAACTTCATTTTGTTTCATTGATGTTAAAAGAAACCTCTTTATGTTAACACTTGTTCGTCTGGGATATGTAAGTACAGGCAGAGAAACAGATTGAGATGTACACACAACAAGGTTTCTCGAATCTTCCCATATGCATGTCGAAAACACAATATTCATTCTCACATGATGCATCGAAGAAAGGAGCACCTACAGGGTTTGTGTTGCCAATAAGAGATGTAAGAGGAAGCATTGGAGCTGGTTTCATATATCCATTGGTTGGTACAATGAGTACAATGCCTGGACTTCCTACAAGACCTTGTTTCTACGAGATTGATATTGACACTGTCACTGGAAAAGTTCGTGGCCTTTCTTAATTCTGGTGGATCAGTCAAAGCTGTGCTTCCATCGTTTCTCACTTCAACAATAAAAAATTGTGATTGTATTTCGAGAGTTTTTCTTTTTTTCGTTTGTGAAATGAATAAAACATCTCTTCTTGTTAATCTCTGAAAAACTGACTCATCATCTTTTTAAACGAATAATAAAATTATAAAAGTATATTTTTCTTTCTGATTTATCTATGGAAAAACGCACTCATCACATTCTCATTATTTGGCTGAAGTCAAAATCTCAAGGTAAAGTTACAAGATAATTGCTGATGTTCAAAAACAAAGAATAAAGCAAATGAATGACAACAGTCTTTCTTCTGAAAAATCATTTGTATGTGAATCATCAAACGCAATGGAGATTCATGAATCAGAAGAGCTTGCAGAAATCATGCACTGGGAGGCTTGTAGAGCTTCTCAACCATCTTCCTGTACTCTGCATAGTGATAACAAAAGAGAAATAAGAAAACTCATAATGCAAAAACTCCAAAGACGTTTGATTCATTGAAATTCATTGAGACTCCAAAGAGGTTTGATTTGTAATGACTGTTTGTTCACCTTCTTGGTTACTCCAAAGCTGAGCTGCTTGAGTGTTCAAAGGTGAGCTGATGTTCGGTTCTGCCCAGCCAAAAGAAAGACACACTCAGATATAGGATGAACCAACAAGCTTATAGGAAATCAAAAATTATGCACGACAGATTACCTCCCAGGAGGCTCTGAATCGACAGTAGTATCGTCCTCACATCGTAAGCAGAAGACCACTTGTCCTATAAATATAAAAATGTGGAAAACAGATTAAGATTGGCACCTCTTCTCTGAATCTTTGTAGAATATAGACACAAGTGGAATATACATTACCTGAAGAATGTCTAAGCAGATATTTCCATAGACATCAACATTGGGATGGAAGCAGCATGTCTCAAACTTAACCTTTGGTGGCTTGAAAGGATAATCATTGGAGAAAGAGAGTGAGAGTCTGTACTCAGTTCCTTCAAAAACTGTATCTTTGCTTCCCGTTATTGTCCCTTTCCAGCAGAATATGTTGTCTTCCTCAGGGAAAGCTGATATTCCCGGACCACCGCCCATCTGAAAACACACCAAGTCAAAACCTTATGAGCAATCTTAACTAGAAAAACTGGTCAAGTATCTGTTTATCTAAAGCAAGAGGAAGAAAGATGACAAAAACTCACCATCAAACCCATCAATTCAGATTGCAGCCTGCGTTAAAGCAAATAAGAAAACTGGATCAAGAATCTGAGATTCACTTAAGTCTGATTAAAAACTGAAGCTTTAAGAAATATAAAGTAGAGGGCAACGATAAGATCTGATTTAAGATGAATACAAAGAACATTTTAAAGGTTTAGTTCTCTCAGAGACATTCTAACAAACAGCTTGTATGCAAAGATATAGTAGAAGTCTCTCACTTTTGGAATCCAGAAGTACATCGACCACAAGAATTCGGATATGGGTAATAATAGCCAAATACTAACTTTGACAAACCATACGAAACAGTGAAATGGATATACTAAGCAAATCGGGAATAATAATTCATCAAAGAAGAGGCATAAAGACGAAAGGCGATTAAAACTGAAGTGGCGAATGAGGGAACAAGATCCGATGAAAAGAAAAAGTACCGTTTGAGAACAGATTGGCTGTCAACAGTCTTGGTCGGAGCCGCAGGTTGTTTCGATCCAGTAGACGCCGGAGGATCCGCCGGAGTATTTCCCTGATACCCGTTTACGGCAGCCATCACTTTCTCGCTTTCTTAATTGCAGAAAAGACCAAAATCGAACTCTTTTTAAACACTCAGATCGAAAACACTCAAATTAGGAGTAGAGTAGAATCGAAAGTAGAAGAAGGAAGGAAGAGGGGAGAAAACAAAGATCCTTCTTCTTCTTCTGATGAGTGAGAGAAAGAGAGATGAGTCTGTGTCTCTGAGGGGTGGTTATAAAACGGTGACTGAGTGAAGAGAAACGACGTCGCTTTTTGAACTTTAAATGGCAAAATAGGAAAATTTTAAAGAGAATATTTATATTTTTGAACGTTGAATAAGCAAAGAAGCGGCGCTTGGAAGCTTTTGAAATCCGTTTATCTAACGGCTAGTTCACTTCTTCTTTCTTTCTTTCTTTTATTCTGAATCTTTACTGAATTAAAATTTTGTTGACAAATGCATTGCATACTTACAGAAGAAAATTATATTCTTTTAGATACATTGAATTCTATATATACTGTGAAAAGAAACCAATATATTTTATTCAAATATAGTTTTGACTTTTGTGAAACAGATGTAATTTCTCATCATTTTAATGATAAGAAAGATACTGCCACATTGGGTGTAAAAAACAATAAAGATTTTGTTTTTGTTTTTTTAATACAGTATTAAAAATTACTAGTAATGATTATTGTAAAACCTATATATTTTTTTAAAAATATTTTCTGTTAGCATGTCATCTATTAAAATTAACATGTTCTCTGTTAAAAACGCATAAAAGCACTCATAATAATGATCCCACCAATTTGTAGTAAACAGGTTCAAAAGACTGCAGGCAGATACATAGCACACGTTGATTATATATGCTCCTCACTTCTGGTGGCTTTCTAATGAATTATACATTGCACCATTAGTTTTGTTCATCAGTGTGATTAATTAAGTCAACCTCGAGAATGAAACCATGAAATGACAAACAAATCGTAACCAAAATTATAAACAAGAGGCAAAAGATGAAATCGAATTTTGTGTACATGGATATCTTGTGAATATTTTAAGTGTATGATTTGTTATAGTGGTCTAAAAAGTTGTTCTGAGTACAAGATCCCAAAAATGGAATTAAAAAAAAAAAAAAAGGTCGAAAATAAATAAATCATGCGTTGAAGAGTCTCCTCAAAGGTCCATCTTTGCGGTCTTTGGCAGCTTCGGTAAGAGCAATGAACTTCTTGAAGCCAGTGCTTGCAGCTCCTCTGCCAAGAGCAGCTGCTCTGGTTAACACATCTTCACTGTTTGCTATGAACCCAGCGGCTGTAGCCGGGTTAGTGATTGCCAGTGGTGGTGTAGGTGGGGCTGGCATCGGTTGTGGCATGGCCGCTGCAACTGACGGCTGTGTGAATCCTGGGCCATGCTTGTTGAAATCATCAAGTATACTCTGCTGATCAGCTTTCTTGAGACCCTGCACCAAACACCAGAAAAAGTTTCAACATATTTTTAAGTCCCCTCTAGTTTGACAAAGAGAGAAACAATTAATGCTGTTGGGGGAGAACAGTACTTAGCCCCACGATCTAGAATACGGTTGTGAACCAGCCCCGGGTCTCAAGCCAGTTCGTTTGAGAATGAGGAAATGGGTTAAAACATGTCAAAATTACCTTAAGTTCCAAGATTCGTTGAAACTCCATGGGTGTTCCTTCTGGAAACAGTGCACGATAAGTGTCTGCCACTGAATCGATAGGGGATAGTATGACCTTAAGGAGTGCTTCAGCTCTGCTCATTTCACGGCTCACAAATTTGGAGTAGCTGGCAGCAGCTGAAGTCTGCAATGATATTATTAAAAGCTATATTCAAAACTAAAAAAAGTAACCGTTTCAGATTTACAGACTATAGTGCTATATGCGTAATCTCTGATATCGGATCTATGACCGAAACAAGAATATCCTAATTAGGTATTCTACTTTAGCACACAGAAGATACCCAGTAATGCGTCACACTGAAATAAAAGATATGACATAAATTGGTAGTGATGGGCTAACCTGTCTGGCAAGGGAAGGAATTTCTAGTAGAATCGTCTTCACAGCTTGTGTATCTAGTAACATCTGTGAAACCAAAAGACAGATAATTCATATTTGAACTCTACACAAACTAAAAACCAAGGGCTCAGAAACATAATCTCGCATAGACACTGCAATCATACTAGTACTGAAGTTCAATTACTAAACATGACAAAAGAAAAAGTGTGAACGATAAGGCGATATAACCAGACTGAGTTTGGCTCTAGTCTTTGGATACACCTGATAAGCGATGTAAGCATAATTTTGACATGGACATCATCTTAGGCAATTCACTAGTTGACTGTTAGAGAAATCACGACAGAGAGAATCAGAGGCAACCAAAAGGAGGAACATAGAGCATGCAGGCTAACCTGTTGGGCTCCAGTTTCGGATAGTTGCTTGCATCTGAAAATATTAGCATAGAACCGAGGTCCTAGGGATGATGCCAACTGCACAAAGTTATATAAGGTAGCATGAATTCTTTTTTCAAATTCTTCTACAAGACATAAGTAAGGAGCTGCTCAAGGGGGGACCCCATTTCATGCGGGTCCTCAATTTGCACAAGGCTGCAACCATCAGATCATGAAGGCATTCGAATCATCTAGTGTCTTTATAATTACCTTGTCGAGGAAAAACTGGAAGTAAACTGGTGTTAGAAGTTTCCCGAGGACAGGAATGCTGCCGCTAAGGATTGTATTTATTCCATTCACGTACCTATACGAAGATGCAAATGCATGTTATTAACTATTGGTCATATGGGCATCAAAAACAATGTAAGCTTTTAACACCCCAGTTAGATCTTACCCAGACTGGTCACCCACACTCTCAAGTGTGCTCCATGATACACGTGTCATCGCTGCCATTTCTGTGTCAAATTTAGTCTCAAGTCCAAGGACCAGCGTTACCAATGCTTTTGTTATGACGGCCGAAAATTCATCCTACACAGCAGCACAGCTTAGGAATAATCCTTAAAAGGGAAAACCACTAAGTCTTTCATGTAATCAGTACCTGGACCTCCGACATGTCTACACCATCAGCATAATGTGGGTCAATAATTTCTGAGACGTTTTCTGCCAGTTCACCAGACTGCAATACAAATAGCAAATAGTCCCTGTGAAGTGCCGCAATGCTGTTCACTTAATCAAAGCTTTAAGATAGAACCTATTAATGTCGACACATCTTGTATTCCGGAACAGCATAATAGCTTGCATAACATTGTTTAATATTGAACCAGCAGATAGTATATTTGAAAAAGTACCATATGAGTGACACAAATATATAAGAAAAGTTGCAGAAACCTTTCACAACTACATTGGAATCGGAAAAACAGATAAACTTGGAGGTGTAAGATATAAAGTTCATTGCTTAAAATGCTTTGGAGGAAGATCGCACCACAATCACATTGAGAAAGTTACTAGACCCATGAAAGTTTCTTGGAACTTGATGCAAATATTATCAATATCAAAACTGGTTTTTCTACATGATTGCCCCCAAAGAAAATAAGGACCATATTATACAACCCCATTGACCCGTCACAACTGGATACACACAGGTGTCAACATATGTGCTGCATGCTGAGGGTGCCAAATGTGAGAAAGGCAGAAAACAGAATAATAGACTAGAACAAGCTTACTGTTTTGTGGCAATACTCAGCAGAATTAACTATGTAGCATATCACCCTTTCATCTTTCTCAGAGACCTGCACAGAGGAAATAAAAATTTAAAACTACGTCACAAAGTACACATAGGAAACAGGAAGAAGGCCCACCTTAATTTGTCCATCCATGCCTGTGGCTGCGGCAACGATACCAGTGCCTCCTCTTGGGAGCTTACCAAATAGCTTTGTGGCATAGGCCTTCAGCACTCGTTGAAAGACCTGTACAGAGGAGACCCTTTCAAAAGAACATACTCAAACCTCCAACCACCTTATCTAAGACGGTGCAGTAGAACATTTAAATTGGCTTGCAAACATCATTAACGAGCACATGTGTATGCCTTTCCCTTTGTAGGAACCTAGGTGGCTAGAAAAACTGATTCAACTAAAAAGGTTTATCCAAACAAAATTCTAAAACCCCTAAACAAAGGTAGTTCTTAGACTAAGACATTGCTCAAATTCACAGTACAAGTCTATGATGTATATAGAAAACCCATATTAAGCATATGAAAAATGTACCTTGAACAAATTGAATAAAGTCTGGTTAGTACTGAGAGAATTACAACGTTTCAAGCTCTTCTTTATATTGGAAAACAGCTGCAAACAAGGCATCTCAAATGGTTAAAGACGATAACTATAACTTGACATATATATTTTGTATATGAATGTTATCAAGGTCTCACTAGTCACTAGTTTATCTAGTGACATCGATAGTTCACTACAGGCAAACTTTTCGAAATTCATCTTGAGTATAATATCCAGTCTTACACGAATACTTTTTCTACTACTACAACATGCACCACCCTGACATAATTCAAATTTCTATCCAGCTCAGTGTGTATCCAAGTTGTAGGCTCAATGTATCAAATAGAGAGTTATCCTACCATCAATATAAAGAAGCCAATAATACCCCAACCCCCCCCCCCCCCCAAGTTAATACCTGGTAGATGTCTTTATCATTTAATACATTGAATAAGGATGTAAAATATCTGTAAGAGATTATTAAACTATTAACCCTTCTACATGAAAGTTGCTTAGGTACTCACCTGTGTGCTGCTAGATAAAACATTATTTTGACTTCCATCCTCAATATCCCATGTTTCCTCCTGACAGAACGAAAAGAAAACTACGATAACTTCACATACCTTGGAAATAATCTCGTGAAGCGAACAATATATTACCTGAACAATTTTCTCCAGGTCATCCATAAGGGTCTTCTCTTCCAATTCAATATATGGAGTTAAATGAGGTTCAAAGCAGGAAGAAATCATTCCACGGAAGTTAAACTGCAAATTCAAGTAACTAGCCAGTAAATTAATCTTGCAAATGATAGAATGGCACAAGTGGATTACATATCATTTCATATTTCCAGGTAATGTCAAGTGGGATGATGAAAGTCTAATAAACTCAGTAGACCCAAAAATGGGGATGCCATGTAAGATATTATTACTATCTTCTATAAAAGCAATATTGTGCCTACGAACTGTTAAGAGTGAAGCAACTTCACTTGCTCTCTAATGGATTCCAGAGTTACTATCGATATGACATCAGCCAACAAAACCAGGAAGAGAACGAGACTAGAGATAGGGAATATACCCCAGCGCCAGTAACAGATAAATCTTTGTTTCCGGTCTTTTCCTGTTGAAAACATTATGACAACAGAAGTGCAAGTGTTAATATACAACTACTAGAGTGTTTTCCATGATATAGAATAAGAACATAGAATATACATTCTCCTCAGATTCTTGACTAGCAGCAAACTTCTTCTCATACTTCTTGCGGATTTTGGATATATTCTGACTATTATCTTCCCATGAACCTTCTTCACTGTCATCTTCATTATCTTTAGTAGGAACACCACCACCAAATTTCTTTTCAAGTTCTTTTTCAAACTCCACTGTCCTTTGTAGTGCCTAACAATTCAAGGACATCAAACTTTAATAGAGGCCTGAAACATTCCACAAAATATTCAACGTAACAGGATTTGATGATAGGGAAAAGGAGGAACAGGCTATGATAATTCATAATCATTAGATATTTCCTTCAGAGGTGAAACAACTCCCTTATATCCATCTGATCAATCTAATGAAATTTCCATGTTAGAAAAAGCATGCTTATATGCAATTATTAATCAAAGAGAGTATGCCCAACCAGAAGCAATATCGCTACAACTGGCTTCTCTTTCATGTTGACCAGAATATATTCTACTTGCTTCCTGAAAAATTGATGGGAAAACAGGACAGTTAGTTTAGAAAGCTGCATATTATTGTTAAATTAAGATTAACACAGTTACCACTACAACTTAATCTTTCGTAGCAAAGTGACTACAAACCAACAAAAAATACAAACCAAAAAAAAAGCTATCATAAGATTTGGCACAAATAAAACTAACCTTAACTTATAAAAAAGTTTACTCATAAGATTTTTTCATTATGTCAAAAATGAAACAAATTTTGCTCAACTTTCTTGTTTGATTCAACAATAACCATGCTTTCAAAAGTAGATATTATATACCATGCATTTATTGTGATCTCCAAAAATATGAACCATTCCAAAAAATTTACAGTTTATGAAAGCTTTTAAAATTTTCACTAATAAGAAAATTTTGAATTTGTATATCAAAAAATTTCGTTCTTCTCAAATTGTATACTATTCCAGCGCCAGGTAGAAGTTTTATGTGCCATGTCCTAACAATAAAAGTGTGGATCAAATATCTAGTTATCAAGTTCAGAGGAGTAGCGGTGTTATGTAGCCCAGTCCCGAAGTTTTTGAGGACTCCAAGAAGAAAAGATAAAGAATCTTTAAGTGAAATATGATGAACTGGGAAGGAAAGCATGTTTCTAAAGGTGATACCTAGTTTGTTTGCAGAACTGGATGCATAATCTATATGGCACATGCCAAGAAGCAGGAAAAATCTTCCAAATTTCTTCATTCGTTCGGATTCGACGCTTAATCCAAGCATATCTCCGCTCTGTTTTATCCAACTTTGCCAATTCTGCCAACAGATAAACCTCTTAGAAATTAAACTGAAGATAACAGAAACATGCACTTTCAGTGCTAGCTATACGTAGGGAAAAGAGTACAACATACCAGCTCCTTCAAAAATTTGTTCATATGAAGTGAGCTCCCTGCTGCAAAAGTTGTTTACTAACTCTTCCCTCACAGATGGCTCCAGAGCATCAACAACCAAGCAAGAATCAGATAGCTGCTGTAGCAAATTTGTTTCCTCTGTCTCTTTCCCAGTACCTAAACTGAGATGACAACAGTAGATATTTTGGGTAAATGTAGGTTTTCGACATCTAACAAATAAGAGGGGGAGAGACTGTGGAAGATGTTGAAAGTGAAAATAAATGCTAGATATGCATCTTAAAACAAATTTTGGTTTTTTCGTAGGCAAAAAAAAAAAAAAAAAAACAAACAAATTTTGGTTTTCTACGAAGATGAAGCAGCAAAACTTAAATCCGTATGCAGGCATTATTTTAGCAAGAGAGGAGCCAACAAGCATGAAACCACAATTTTGACACCAAAAGAGCAAAATTCATGATACACCTAAATTCTATAGGGGGAATATATCCTTTCGAGTTGTATTCTTATTGAGATTGAAGATAAAGGCATTGAGCAAGAGAGCATCAATCAGTCGCATTACAGCAGACCTCTTTTGGATGGCCACTGAGGACTTATTTTAGTATGTACAATATGGTCGAATCACTAAAGGTATTACCTGGAAAAATCAGAAAATACATGGGACTTCAGGATTTGCTTTATATTATTAAGCTTTTCTCTTAGCTCCGTGATTTTAGGAACATCCCTGTATGCTTCGAAGTGATTATTTAACTGGTTTACGGCCTAAAATATATCATAGAAATAGAATCTTAAGAATATAATCAGAAAATAGAAAGAAAAGTCTTCTAGTACATCCAATTAGGTAGCCTAACGTTAAATTATGACAAAGAGCTCCCACGATGAACATAAAGCCAAAGCAAATGTACTACAACCTAACTGAACCAACAAAAGCAAAAGATTGTTAAATTGCAAAAAATACCTCCAGCTGTGCCGCTGCCTCTTTGTATTGTCTTTTTGACGCCATCACTTGAAGCTGTTCAACAGCAGAGACTGCCATAGCATGATAGCGAATTTCATTAATGAGCTAATGAATAGTGTACACTTGATCAACTTAATCTACATTCCAGGCATATATTGGTTCACCATACAAAGATAAATATATCCACGAAATAGGTTATCCAGCAACATCATGTCACATATCTGATGTTTCCTACCTTGGAACCCCTAATTATATAAGGCCTATTTTGATTATATTCACTAAACTTGGGCTATCGTTCTGATTTCAGGTTTCAGGATACCATGACCAGATATGGTGAAACGAATGAATTTATTAAACAGATTAAATTATTGCTAACTAACCTAACATTGTAAGGCGATGAAGAGCAGTGATCGTGGTGGTTATGTTCTTCTTTGCAAAATCTAACTTCTTAATGTCACGGCATATTTCTTGAACCATTGCTTCACTTTGCTCAGCTTTGGATTTTATCTCTTGTATCTTATGAGAGAGTTCCTGTGTTAAATCGAAAAATAAGATCAAACTCTCTTACGAATGAACAGAAAGGGAACTGTTAGGAGAATCGAAAAAGGAAATGATATATAGGTAGAAAGCAAATAATACATATCAACCTATGAGAAACTAACCTCGACAGCACGTGTGGCATCAGCAAGATCCTCTTTAGCTTTAGTTCCGGAGTTACTCTGGAGTATGGTTGCCACCCCAAGAATAAGATTCAGAAGCTGATATTATTCTTTCAACATAGAAGAAAATGATTTTCTTTGAGCCTACAATTTAATAATTGTGTTCTTTAAGCCAAAAAAGGTGCACCTGTTGACGAACAGCAGAGAGTATGCTAGCATCAACCCGCCGAATCTCACCCTGAATCTTTTGCATAAGTGGCTCAACGCCAGATAGCGATGCCTCTGTAAAGGAAAACACACATTTGAAACTCATGGTAAAAGCAGTCACATTACATATGCAGAAACTATAAGCTAATCAACAGCTGAGACTACCTGTCATGATTACAGAAACTGTAATCAACCAACAGTTCATAATACTTGGGATTTACTATGAACAACTCTAAAACCATGATCCTTATACAAAGGATATTATTGTTCTGCTACTGTTTTCATAAAGAGAAAAAAAAAAATCACCTGTTGGGAACATCTGGTTGATATACTCTAAAGCACTCGATTTATCCATGGCGTTGTAATTTGTATGGTACAACCAAAATCACTCGAAGTAGAGTATCTGCAAAACAAATGATCAGGGACACGAATCAGAACATCCCCTCTGAAATTAAGTTGTTATCTATGTCACAGGGCTCGATTCGACGCAACTATTAGATCCTGATTTGAGGTGAACAAAATTTGTACAATCAATCGGGAACAATTTGGATTTACCGATGGTCTAAAAACGAAAATGAAGAAGCTCACAAGTTGAAAGAGAGATAGAGAGTGAGAGAACGCGACACCAAACGGCGGCGATGACTGCCGACGACTGAGATCGGATCGGTCCTTCGTGTATGGAGATATGCTCTCCCAACGGACCCAAACACTCACAGTTCGATTAGAGATCTCTCTAGTCTTCTCCCTGTTCAATTATGAACCGGACCGGTTTAAGACTCTCATATTTGGTTTGTGGACCGTAGCCGATTTTTTTAGCCAAACCGCTTCCTCAAACCCGGTTTACCTGACTTGTTTCGTCAACATGGGACTCCAGTTCCGCTGCTACTCCTTAAGTATATCAATCTCTCAAAGATAGGGACTTGAAGAGTTGTCAACGCATCTTCTTCGTTTCGTGCCTATATATATGATCTCTATCTGATTCTGTTTGCAGAACAGCTTTGATTGGGTACTAATTTATTTATGATTAGACAATACTTGGGTATCAGATTAGCTCCTTGATCATTGGTTCATAAGTACATCTGTGTAGGGCTTTTTAGTTTGAAGTTACTGTAATTTCAGAAATTTCCATGCTCCGTATGAATATTTTTTGACCCGAAAGTTTTGTCACTTCTGGTCATTAGGGTCTTGTTTTGATTCCTATGTTTTTCTGAGTAAATAATTCATTTGCTTTTTATGATGAATTTCAAAAATTCCATCTTTCAGGTACATATGGCTTCTTCTTCTTCTTCTTCTTCTGCACAATCTAGAATCTCGAATCTCCAGAATCATCTTTCACCTCTTGAAGCAAACAACAAGGTTTCTGTGTAAAAGATCCACCTTTTTTTAGTTTCCAATGTTTGTAGACTTTTTCCAATCTTGATTTGCTGTCTCTTACTATTGGTTTTGAAGCAGCTCAGGAGTCTGGTCAAGATATCTCCACAAGTATCTGAAGCCTTATCCAATGGGCTCGCTGTGGTTGCTCTTGAATCAACCATAATCTCCCATGGTTTGCTCTTCCTAGTTCTATCAATTATTCAGACTTTTTAATTAAAGTTAGCTTCAAAACATAAGTGTTTATTCTTGGATGGTTTCAGTTGTTTATCTTTAACTGGCTAATTTTAGGGATGCCTTACCCTCAAAATCTACAAACAGCAAAAGAGGTGGAGTCAATTGTGAGAGAAAATGGAGCAATCCCTGCAACAATAGCTATCCTGAATGGAGTACCTTGCATAGGTGGGTTCATACTTGTGGATCATAATAATTTACTGTCTAGGCTTTGAAGTTATCGAACCTGGTAACACTAATCACCTAGTCAACTTTAGCGGTTTTTTAAAACATCTTTCGCAGTTTACATATTCTGCAACCCAACTGGGTTCAAAATCTTGGATTACGGATGTAGATCTCATTTCGTAAATGATAAAAGACCAGTAGTCTCTTTTGATTATAATATGTTGTTAACAGGTCTGAGCGAAGAAGAATTAGAACGTCTTGCATCTCTGGGAAAAAGTGTCCAAAAGACAGCAGGCAGAGACATACCGCATGTTGTGAGTCACTTCTGGTGGCTTTTAATTTTTACTATTTGTAGTTTTGTACCATCATTATATTCATCAGTATTCAGTAAATGCGGAAAACATAAAACTTTTTTATTATCCAGTTTAACATTTGTTATATACTGTGTGAGTCATGGAAGAAATATCCTTTATCAATGCATCAGTTTATTCAACCTACTGCACTATAAACTAGCTTTTTTGTATAGACAAACAGGTTACATACTTTTCGGACTGCTTGTTCTTCCATAATGCCTAAATGTATTCTGTCAGGTGGCTACAAGAGGAAACGGTGCAACTACAGTCTCTGCAACGTTGTTCTTTGCTTCTATGGTAATTGGCGTTGCTCCTTGGAGGATCTTTCTAAAGGAGTTTTGGTATCAGTCATTTCATTCAGAGGATTTTTTGGCTGTTGCAGGTTGGCATCCAAGTTTTTGTGACGGGTGGGATAGGGGGTGTGCATAGACACGCTAACCATAGTAAGTTTCATGCCCGTTTTGTACTTTATTTAAGTTTTTCTAGCTATACGGTTAGAAACTCTGTTGAGATGATGGTGTTGAGTACTTCTGAAGCCAATATGTGCCTCACGTGCTCTGCTATATTGTGTTTGTGATGTAGCTATGGACATCTCATCTGATCTTACTGCACTTGGAAGAACCCCTATAGCAGTGATATCAGCAGGCGTTAAATCAATACTTGATATTCCAAAGACTCTTGAATATTTGGTATGCAATCCGTTGTCGAGGCATATCTAATAGTCAACAGTTAAGAGTTTAGTTTTTTCACAACGCTATTCGTTGACAATGCAGGAAACTCAAGAGGTGTTTGTTGCTGCATACAATAGCGATGAGTTTCCAGCATTTTTCACAGAAAAAAGCGGCTGTAAGGTGAAAATTTGTACCGCTAAAATCAATCACTTGCTCAACTTTAGATATTTAGTTGTGACGTGGATATATTAATTTCTATAGGCACCTTCCCGTGTAGATAGCCCTGAAGACTGTGCTCGAGTAATAGGCAAGTGAAGTCGTTGTCCCAAAATTTCCCTTTTAAATTATTTATGTATTTTGAGCCCTTATCACCTTGAGAAAACCGCTTTTCCCAGATGCAAACATGAAGCTGAACCGTCAGGCAGGGATTCTATTTGCTGTTCCAATTCCAAAACAGCATTCAGCCGCCGGAAATCTTATCGAATCAGCAGCACAGCGTGCTCTTACTGAAGCAAGGTCATATAAAGAAACTTGTATCTTTTAAACATGCTTGCATCAGAAAACTTCGAGGTCTTTGCTTCTTTTTCTAATTTCATCGTCAATCTGAATTTGGTTTTGTCCAGGGAACAAAACGTTACTGGAAATGCAGAAACTCCATTCTTACTTGCACGGGTTAATGAATTAACTGGAGGCACTTCACTTGCCGCAAGTATCCTTTGTCTAATACTCAACCAATCTTTTCATGTCCAATCACTTTAAGTAGTTTCAGAAATTTATATCTGCATCCAAAATTCCCAAACCCTTACGTTGCTTAAAAACAGCATTGTAAGTCTTAAATTCCTTGACTCAGTTTCAGACATTGCGCTTGTGAAAAACAATGCCCTTATCGGTTCTCAGATTGCAGTAGCCCTTTCTCAGCTGATGTGAGCTTCCTAATCAATCTCAAGCTCAACTTCAAATTCAGGACTGATCGAAGATGTTTTGGTGTTTTTATGTTGGTCATCAAAGATTTTTTCGTTAGCTCAGGAAACTCTATAACCTATTTTCACATGTTATACATATAATAATATATCATGTGGAACCTGGTTTCTCTCCTTGTCTAACGTCCCTTAAAGGTTAAATTATTGAATTATATTAATTTATATCACAAAGGATCTCAAGGAAAGATCTGATCTAAACGGTCTATATATAAAATAAAACCATTCTGCTTCATCTAACCCTCTCTGCAGGTTTTGGGCAACAATGGCAGTAATCCCCGTTGACTTTCAGCTCTGCTTCATTTTCATCCTCCTATGGCTCTTCTCACTCTTTTGTCTATCTGCTTTCTTCTTCAAGAAATCAAAAGGTCCACAGTTCCAAGACTGTTGTCTACCTCCAAGCCCACCGTCTCTACCAGTCATAGGTCATCTTCACCTTCTCCTCTCTGTTCCATGTTACAAATCTTTTGAGAAAATCTCCTCCAAGTATGGTCCCTTCATTCACCTTCGTGCCTTCAGTATCCCTATCGTTCTAGTTTCCTCGGGCTCCATGGCCTATGAAATCTTCAGGACCCACGACCTGAACTTTGTTACCCGTGACCGCGCAGCTCCTATAATGGAAAAATCAATACTTTTTGGTTCCTTTGGCTTTGTCTCAGCTCCTTATGGAGATTACTGGAAATTTATGAAGAAGCTCTTAGTCACAAAGCTTCTTGGGTCTCACTCCCTCGAGCGGACACAGCTCCTCCGTAAGAAAGAACTCGAGACTTTCCGGGCTATGTTGTTCGATAAGGCAGCAAAGAATGAGACTGTCGATGTTGGTATAGAGATGATGAAGCTAACAAATAATAGCATCTGCAGAATGATAATGGGGAGGAGGTGCTCAGAGGAGAACGGTGAAGCAGAACAAGTCAGAGGCTTGGTGACCGAATCACTTAGTTTGGCGAGGAAGTTCCTTATAGCTAGCACGGTTGGTCGAGCTCTCAAGAAGCTTGGGATCTCTCTGTTTGAGAAGGAAATCATGGAGGTCTCGCAGAGGTACGATGAATTGCTGGAGAAGATTATTAAGGAACATGAAGAGAATCCAAACAAGAAAGAGGATAGAGACATGATGGATGTTCTGTTGGAAGTTTTTGCAGACGACAATGCCGAGTTAAAAATTAGCAGGAACCAAATCAAAGCGCTCTTTGTTGTAATGTCTTGAAAATTTCTTCATGATCTTCCATGGCTGCCGTGTAAGGATCATGCAAAGTCTTTATCTTTAACATTGTGCATGTGGTTGTAGGAGCTTTTCATTGGAGGCACTGATACTTCAGCACATACAACACAGTGGATAATGGCGGAACTAATTAACCATCCCGAGATTCTTAAAAGAGTGAGAGAAGAGATAGAATCTGTTGTCGGGAAAACGAGGTTGATTCAAGAATCAGATCTCTCAAACCTGCCGTATTTGCAGGCTGTCGTGAAAGAAGGGCTAAGACTACACCCGCATACGCCAATCTTGGTGAGGAATGCAACAGCGGCATGCAAGATCGGAGGGTATTACATAGAGCAAAACACGACAATGATAATAAACACTTATGCAGTGATGAGAGATCCGGATTCATGGGAATATCCAGGCGAGTTTCAGCCCGAGAGGTTCATGGTCCCCCCTTCAAATAGGAATGAGTTAGCTTTGAATTACATTCCTTTCGGAAGTGGAAGAAGAGGATGTCCTGGAGCAAACTTGGGTTATATCTTCATTGGAGTAGCCATTGGAACAATGGTACAATGTTTTGACTGGACAATTAATGGAGATAAGGTTAACATGGAAGAAACTGGAGAAATGACTCTGAGCATGGCTCATCCACTTAAATGCACTCCGGTTGCTCGAATTAACCCATTAGCTAGCTTTGAATCTAGAATTCCTTAGTTTTAAATGACAATGGGTAATAATCTAGAGATCATTGGTTGATGGTTGAGTATGATATTTCATGTTGGTGTCAAAGCCATATGTCTGAAACTTGCCGTCTTTGTACTTTTTTCTTCTTCAAAGGGAAACATATTATCATTATGGCTTAGGCATTTGTTATATCAGAAGGAACGAGTGGGAAACTATAGTACTGAATTAGAAACGTTGCAGATAACAAGAAAAGCTAAAGGCATCAAAGGAAGATAGTTACACATTTTGGATAGTCTACTTTTAACTTATTAGTTATTACACTTTCACTACTTGCTACTTCTGATGCCAAACTTGAGATGATTACCGAGCTTCAGAAGAAGGCTCTACTCCCATAGAAAACACGAGAGCTAGCACTCTTTGGCGTCTGCTGGGAGGAGCTTGAGTTCTCAGATTGAGTCGGGCTATCGATGTCCAAAGGGAGTTTCATCTTAGCCAGTGACTCAGTGAATTGCTGCAAGCTTTTCGTGTACATGTCAACAATATCTTGCTGCACTACCTGTTGCTCTGGTTCAATGTTTACTGTCAGAACCGGTTTCACAACGGCTTCGTCATCCGTCTTATCAAAATCACCATTGTCGATGATATCTGTTGCCTTCGTTGCTTCTTTAACTGAACCTAAGTTGTTGCCTTCGCTTGATTGCTTTGAATCATCATGAGTTCCCGAGGAGCCAGAACTAACTGCAGTTGATGGAGAAGAGATTTCATTTGTTGAGACAGTATTCGTTGGGGCTGCTTCTTCAACAGTGTCAACAACAGCAGACAGGATGCTGTTTACTTCCACAAAGCCGGTTTCAGAGCTTGCAAAATCGTCAGAATCTGAACAAGTAGTAGAAAAGTACTTGGACACCATTTGATTGTTTTCACATACAATCTTTGGATCCAGAAACTCATTTTCATCAAACTCGATAGGAGCCAACTCGGTCTCATCCGCTGTTGGAACCGCAGGAATGTGCATTACCTCAGGCAAATCTCCTGCATACGACAGCGACAGCTCAACAAATCCTGCAGGAGAGTGATACAAATCAGTTGAAGAAAGAGAGAACTCTTTCTCCAGCTTCCCATTCCTCACAATCACTTCAGACAAAGGTACAAGACTGAATCCAAGTAACTGATCCTCAAGATAATTCTTCACGCGGCTCATCATATATATCTCACACTTAAGCGAACAATCCAGATTCTTCACATCAAACTGAAGGGTGTCGTCAAAAACAGGGTTTCTCCCTCCACCATTGATGATCTTGGTGGACAAGGAGGTCTTGGGATCGCTTGTGAGAGAAAGCTTAGCATACACATCTTGCTTATGATAGATACAAATGTTCTGGATATCTCTAGCTTGGTGAACAAAAACCTCAAGCACACCAACGAAACTGTCTGAACTAGAGGACATGACCGGATTCTTTGTTCTGGTTTCACCACTGCCATTCATATGGATACTACCATTGACGATTGATGTCTCAGATTGTGGAGACTCCATAACAGGATCTGCAAACAATAAGACAACAGCTCTCATTTGGAATCATCCATAATGATTATAAAAAAACAAACCAACCTTTTAGAGTTTGGTTTAAATTCTCTAAATAACAAACAAAAAGACACTAACTCAAACTCAAGAAACAGAATCTACTAAGTGAATCAAATCAAATCTCTGAAAAAGCATACAACTTTAAGATGCTGCGATCAAATATGCCACTGAAACAAAGCTCAAGAACTCCTCAAACAACAAAATAACGATAAATTAGGACTTTTACCTGATCTCAAGCAAAAAGCTGCAAACTTGATTACGGCCAAGATTGCTTAATCAACTCACTAAGTTACTAAAAATATTTAACGCAGACGGTTCCTTTAAAAACAACAAAGAGAAAGGCCATACATGGATTCCAAGAAAGCAATCAACTTTCTCGAGGAACAAAAAAACCCATAATCTAAGGAACAAGAAGGAATTTTGCAGATAAGAATAAGGATAAAGTAAAGATTTTTTTTAATAAAGGGTTCTCGTTACAAGTAAAAGAAGAAATTGAGGCTCTGTTAACCTTTAATTCAGGGTAAGAAAGGTCAAAAAGAAGAAGAAAGCTTTTCTTCTGTTTTTCTTCTTCTTGAAATTTGCGCTGAGGAGGATTTACCCAAAAACCCACTTAGGATTTTGTTTTCTTGAGCTTTGTAACGGAGAAGGAAGAGAAGAAGAGGAAGAAGAAGGATGTAGAAAGTGAAAGGGGAACAATTATTGCGTTATTGTTTAATATTCAGTGTGAAACAGACTTTTCTAAGTAGGCACGATCTACAAATTATAGACGCCTCTCTCTTTTTTCAAGTTTTTTTTTTTTTGTTTGTATTCTGTTTCTATACCACAACGGCTCTAAAGGTTCTAAAAGAAACTTACTTTAAAGAGATTTTATATTTTGTATCCTTTTTTTTTTACTTTTTGTTTTATGGCATTAGGATGAAGATATGGACCACAAACTCTGATTGGTTTGGACCGTTTGGTTGGTTCTTTTCTGGAAAATTTGTTTGGTCTTTTTGCTTGGTTAAACTGGTTGAGTTCACAGTCGATTTGAAGAAGGCTCTAGCTAGACTAGTTTAAACACGCTGGATATGTATGTAGGTGGAGGAGTTCGTGGATATGGACTGGTTACAAGCTCTATTAAGTGTTTTATGCGAGTGGTGTATAATAGCCGAAGACATTTGTTTGTTGCATAATAGTCAAATCATTTATGACTGTTTGTCATCGGTAACACTGTAGTGAAGAATCTTTTTATTTATGATTTAAAGCTTATAGGACGGAAAGGTCCTTGATACAAACAAACCCTATTCACATGAATTTGATCACACAATAATGTTTGACACATTTTTGTCTTTCGTTAGCTTTAGCATAACCATTACCATAAGGATTAAGAACAGTGGAAGTAGAAGAATAATTCGAGAAACTAAGAGAAAGAAACATAAGCCTGAAGTGATAACAACAAATCAGTGATAACAACTAATCTGATTGGTACACATGTATATTAAACACACGAATCTACATTCTACATGTGCCACATAGCTTCAAATTGGTATTTCATGGTCAAAAATATGATCTTTTACAGTTGAAAAGTAAGAAACGAGCTAAGAAACTAGTCATCCACGAGAAGATTTTCTAAGTTCAGTTTCCAGTTTTGTAGAGCTGTAAGACAAGTCATAGAATTCAGCTAAGTAAGTCAAAGCTTCAAAGTTGTTGTTGCATACCTTCCACAATGCAGAAACTTCTCCTTTAGAAACTGTTCCCAAGTTTTCACAAGTCTCTATGAATTCAAGCAGCTTTGAATAGAAAGAATCATAATTCATCACAATGAATGGAACTGGCAATACAGATCCAATCCTTTTGAGCTGAATCAATGCCAAAATCTCAAACATCTCATCGAGCGTGCCAATCCCACCTGGAAGTGCAATTACTGCTGTCTTATCAGAGACATTGTGTCTCATCACTGCATCCACTAATCCATGCTTTCTCGCCGAGAAGAACCTAAACGTTAATTCCAACATTTTAGGGAGCACTCACTCTTGTACAACCAGAGTAGGCATGGTCTGTGGCTATGGTTTACCTGCAAGTATGGTAATTCTGAGGAGGGAGATAAGGATGAAACTTCGATGCGGTCCATTCACCGGCTTCTTTTTCTATTTTGATGCCACCAACCGGTTTTCCAGCTTCCAAAGCACCTTTATTCACAGCATCCATAAGTCCTGGTCCAGCTCCAGACCATGTAGTACAGTCCAACAGATTTGCTGCCTGATAGAAATACACAACCCTGAAAATCTATATAGTAAGATGAAAACTAACTTTTTCTTTGTGGAGTTTTAAAAGATCTTAGTTACTTCTCTGCTCAACTCTTGTGCTTGCAGGTAATGTGGATGGTTTGGTGGGATTCTGGCAGAACCTAAGTACAAAATGCCTCTCCCAAGCCTATGTATGAGGTCGAAGCAAATCTCCAGCTCTTTCTTAACCTTTAAAGCAATCAGGATTCAAAGTAATAAGATAGAGAATAACAGTTGACATAGCCCATATTGAAGAGGCCTTTTGAGTAAATATTATCAGACCATTAACATCCGAAATCTACAAAGAAGATTAGAGATAGAGTGACAATTGAGCAAAAAAGGCCAAGACTTTAACAGGGGAAACCATAATTTAAGTTTTTCTTTGGTTATGCATCTTTACTAAAACCTTTCAACAGATTATTTTATCGATCTTCTGATGTCTAATTCGACTTAGCAATATGCAAAGCCCAAAAAAGGTTCAGTCTTTATCCTTTAATGAACATGTTTCATGACATTCTATTGCAAAAACAAGCAATGAAACCAATCTAATGGACTTACTCAAAGCTGAGAGTTTAGTTTGTTACCTCAGATGGGCTACTTCTCTCAACAAAATCCTCAGACACAACAGACCTGCACTTCAGAACTCGTGCTGAATATGCCCTCATCGGATGACAAGACCTCATATCCAGACACATTGGGTCTCTTTCTGGCAAAGAGCTTGCGAATTGTGGTGTAGGAGAAGGAGACATCTTCGGGTATAATCGGAAACTCCATGATGAATCCAACATCGAAACCCCCATTGTACGCACAATTCTTAGTTCCTTGAGAGAATAAATTGGGCAACCAAACAACTCAGGCTCTCTCTCTCTCTCTCACACTGTCAATTTAAGATTCTTTATTACAGATTATCAAAAGTTTCAATTTTTATCTATTGATTTCGTCTGCGTTCACCGGTAAGCTCCTGGGAGTCAAGCTCACTCCAAAATTTAGGGTTTTTGTCACTAACTAATTAAAGTATTACACGTGGCCATTTGGGAAACTCGCATTATAAAACAGTCAAAACACGGATCCGTTGAAAAAAACACACTGATCTGCCGTGCAAAAAGACAAATAAATATTTTATTACAAGGCACACAACTAATCACCAACTAATTAACCCAATAATAATACACAATCTTTTAACTAAAATCAATCCAGAGGAGGAGCACTCTCAAGTCTCAACTACGACACAGCATTTAAGCAAGAAATAGTAGCAACTTTTCTACTATAAACTTGAGTAAAGCAATATAAAAAAGTGTTAGTGAAAAAAAAAAAAAAGTGTTAGTGGTTTTTTCTTCTTTTAGATCGGATCTCTTGAAGGAAATGGGGTCAAAGTTTCATGCTTTTATGTACCCATGGTTTGGTTTTGGTCATATGATTTCATATCTTCATCTAGCCAACAAACTAGCTGAAAAAGGTCATACAGTGTCAGTCACTTATTTCCTTCCCTTTTTTTTTGTCGCCACTTATTTCCTTCCCAAGAAAGCTCACAAGCAGCTTGAACCTCTCAATCTGTTCCCGGATAGCATTGTCTTGGAGTCTCTTACTCTCCCTCATGTCGATGGTCTCCCTTTTGGTGCCGAGACGGCCTCGGATCTTCCAACCTCAACTAAGAAACCCATATTCGATATTTCGATGCCATGGATCTCTTACGCGATCAGATCGAAGCTAATGTCCGTGCTTTGAAACCAGACCTAATATTTTTCGATTTTATTCATTGGGTTCGATCCAGAAATGGCAAAGGAGTTTGGATTCAAAAGTGTGAACTACCAGATCATATCGGCAGCTTGTGTAGCTATGGTTCTTGCACCTGGTGCTGATTTAGGGCTTCGTGCGCCGCAAGATTATCCTTTATCCAAAGTGGCGTTACGTGGACATGAAGCTAACGTTTGTTCTCTCTTAGCGTCGTCTTCTCATGAGCTTTTCCGTCTGATCACCACAGGCCTTAAGAACTGTGACGTTGTTTCCATCAGGACATGCGTGGAACTTGAAGGTAAGCTATGCGGTTTCAAAAGAAAATGTCAAAAGAATTCTTTTTCGAGAAAGATCAATTTCAAGAACTCTGTTTAGGAATGGAGCTAGTGTATGTCTGGCTTTGTACAACCATATGAACAATGGTTCAACTTTTCTTTGATAGATGTGGAAAGATTAACAGGAATAGTTAAAAAAAAAAATGAATATGGAAAAAAGATAAACAATAACACTGGCGAAGTATTAAAACAAATATAGAGGCAAAATGATTTCAAAACAATCCCAAGGCAGAAGCAGCTTGAGACTTCCAATGTCTAGCGTTTTCAAAACCATTTCTAAAATTCTCAAAATCATCAATGGTCCGATCAATCTCTTCTTGTGTGTTCATAACAAAAGGACCAAACTGAACCATTGGTTCACCTATAGGCTCACCAGCCACAAGGATAAACCGAAGTGGCATACCGGGATCAGAACCGTTCCAAGCCTCCAAACAGTCACCACCTAGGCCTAGAACCAGCAAGTGGTGGGCGGAAGCGGCTGAGTGTTGTATCTTGGAATCCCCAAAGTGGCCATGGCCTTGAAGAACATATACAAACGCGTTCCAATGGACTGGAATGGGCTGAGAGATTCTAGAACCCGGTGAGAGAGTAAAGTCTAAATACATTGTTGGTGTTCTTGTGCAAATCTTTGACTTAACTCCATTCCATTCTCCTGCTATGACTCTAACTCTCACACCATCTTTCTCTGTTTCTGCTATATCTTTACTCTCTATCTCTTGATAACTCGGCTCCACTCTGGAAATTTAGAGACTTTTTAAGTATAATATCTAGTATCTAGTATAGAAAATAACATGGATCACTCAACTCATTTTCAATTGGTTGATCCATGAACATAATGAATAAAAGAAAAGCTTACAGCTTATGTTTAGAAGAGAGATTGATCCAAAGTTGCAAACCCTTGTTGTGAGTAACGCCATTGGAATTAGAACAAGGCATTTCAGAGTGAACAATGCCTTTTCCTGCAGTCATCCATTGTAATCCTCCTTCTCTTATTACTCCTTTGTGTCCTTCACAGTCTTCATGCAAAATCTCTCCCTGTGTATAGAAACAATGTCATCAAGACTTACGCTACAAGTTGGCTATTCTTGCGAAATCAAATTTTAAAAAGAAGATGAGAAGATGTCAATAGATACCTCTAACATGTAAGTGACTGTCTCAAATCCTGATTTTGGAGAAGAAGAAAAAGAACATTAAACAAGACGAACAATGCTAACAGTGATAGGTTTGGTTAGTGTTATGAAAATATAATGTCAATCAAAAATGAAAAGGCATTTAGTTGTTGACTTCAGTACTGTATATTCTAAGAAAAATAAAAACCATTAGCCAACCTATTTTATTTCTTTTTTTCATGTAAACGCAAACTTAAACGTGTAAAACATTGCGTTTAGAATAAGCAACAACAAAACCAACCTCTGTGTGGATGATCTGGGAACCCTGCAGGAGCTGAAACTGCATATATATTAAAAGATTTTAATCTCTTATATGAAGCTGAATTCAAGAGAACAGAGCAAATACAGAGGAATAAAGAAACAACAACACCAACCTGAGAATTCATCCAAAACAAGAAATGGGTCCAAGTACCTAAACTCAAACCTGCAAAAAAATTTAAAACAAACTGTATTAAACGTTTTTGTTTCCATTACTACACTTTGGTGGAACTTTGCTTTTACCTTCCGATGCTTCTTCTTACAACCGCACCAAACCCTTCGTGTTGCTGTCTAGCGAAAAGCTTCTTAACAACTAACTTCTTAGTATTATTACCAGAAGATAACTCTGAAATTGGCATCTTGTATCCGAGAGAGAAAGAGAGAGAGTTGATGAAAAAAAAAATATATGTGTATTTGTTGAATATGTGATGAAGATGTATATTTATACTAAGGAAAAGAGTTGTTGTATTTGACAGTTGGCCAAATTAAGAAGATGATGACTTAACCCAAAACTACATAAAATAAATTGATTATATAAGTCAATGTTTTAAAAAGATTGTAATTTGGATTTTGAAGACGCCATTCTTTTTCCTAACACTTTTAAAGCATGATATACAAGTTTTCTTTAGAAATGTATATCTCTGTTAATCCAATTTTTTTTGTTTGATAAACTTGGCTCCAAAAGGCAATTAATACGTTAGCAAAAGTATTTATATGTATGATTACAAATTTAAAATATTAGTGGTTTTGTTTTGTGTTACGTCATGGCTTCATCATATTCTATCTTTTATGCTAGTGATCGCAATAAAGAGATGTTCCATTTCGAAAGGCAAAAGTTTATAAATCACACAATATTGATTCGTTAATGGACCCCGTGGATGTGGATACATAAATCCCAATTATTGCATTTGAAAAAGAAAAAAAATTACTTTTTCTTGATCTGCCGATATAAATTTACATGATACATTCTCTCTTTATCTTATTAGTCGTCTAATATTTTTGCCGATATAAATTTTTATACGCCGAAATGGAACATCTCTTTATTGCAATCAGTAACATATAAAACAAAAGTCTTGGTTATTTATAACAACAAGTAAACAAATTATTTATAACAACAAGTAACATCTCATGCTGCCCATGCCACAGTCTATGCTATATGAAAACAGAGAAATAATCTGCTCTATGACCTCCAGCTCATCCCTTTGTCAACTATTTCAATCTATTGATAGAGAGATCATCAATTCTATCTCTTCAAGATGTCATCGCAAAAGTTTCAAAAAACTAATACGTCTATAGATCCGATGAAAAATATGCTCTCTTGGGTTTTGTTATTTGCTTCCTTGTATTTTCTCTCTTTTTGCCAAGGAATCAAATGTTTAAGTTTTCTTTATGTAAATCTAAACCACTTTTATTTTATATGATATTTACCACTTAGCCAAAAAAAAAAAAAAAAAAAAAAGTAACAAATTGTTACATACACTTTAGAATTGAATACGCAGTCGTTTGGTTCAGATAAGCGAAAACGTTTATCAGCGCGACAGCATGACGTGAGGATGACGGTTTGACCAATTTTATCATTCTTTGTCTTGTCGTCTGTGTGTGGGTATTGGGTAGCACTCTGATTTTGTGGGGGTCAGAGACACGGACGACCAAAAAAGAAAGATAATTTCGAACAAATTTCTAGAAACATTTTTTTTTCTGTCTGACCAATGATTACGTAACCATGACACCCATCAGGATCCAAGTATTTTTCTACATCAATGTAACAAAATTTGACCATATACAGAAGGACCAAGAATATAATATAGGAATAATTGGGATTTTAGTACATTTTTCAAACTTAATTAGTAAAATAGTATAATTACTATTTATAATTGGCAAATTAGTCACCTTTCCCTATTTTCCACTATTTTGAAAACTTTGTAACCCTCTCATCCCTCTCATATTTACTCTAAGTGCCATTAAACTTACTTTTAAAAATTTTTTTTGTATTTTCTTTTTCTCTCTTTTTATAATCTAATAAATAAAATATTAATTAATATTTTTTTTCTGATTTTCTGATACAGTAAATTTGTATATATACACAATTTTTATTTTTACACTCATATTTACTGTATATTATATAATTTATATGAATAATATATATATATATATATATATGTACAAAAAATATATGTACATATATAATTGTATATATATACTTGTACATATATATAATTGTACATATATAAACATTGTACAGTTAAGATATATGTACAAAAATATACAATCGTACAGAATAATGTATGTACAAATACAATTTTACGGATATAAAATATTGTACATGATTATTTCTGTACATATATGTCTTTCTGTACAGATAGACAAATGTACGAATCATAATTTGAATGAAATATATTTGAAAATATAAAACAATATGCATATCAAATTGTAGAGAAAAAAAAAGATGATTTTTCTGTTTCTAAAGTTTTTTAAAAAACAAATTCATATAATTCATATTTTAGTTATTAAATTAGTGGGAATTGTAAGAAATAAAAAATATAATATATATATATATATATATAAGATGGAGAGAGAAAGAAAAGATGGAGGGCATCAACTTCCTCCCTCTCGGCCAAAAACACACTCTCGACTCTGCTGTCTCTTTTTGTCTTTTCACTCACAACCTCCTTACCCCACAAACACTTCTATTAGACAACTCCTCTATTACACAACAACCTAAATTGCAAATTATAAATAGTGAACGTATCATTCAGCATATTATTTCTTGAAAACGTACTAAATAGCTAATTTTCCCTATAATATATTCCAAATAATTAAGTTTTTAAATATCTAGGGGTGTTTTGTATAATTATAATTTATAAGAACAAATGTTAGGGGATAAATTAAGCTATTTTATTTCTGACTATCAGATTTATCAATTAGGCAGATCGAATCTGAGTTAGTTCCTTTCAACTTTTCTCAAAGATATAATACTTGAAACTAACATTTGTTCTTTTTTTACTTTTAATTTTTCCTTCTTTGTATACAAATATTCAAGTTTATCAAGCAAAAGATTAAAATTAACATAAGAGATATTTAAAGAAAACCTGAAAATTTGGTTTATATATAAAAAAAATTACACTCCCGAAATAGTCAGTTATATATATACCAAAATTTGTTCTTTTTCTTTGCTTTTAATTTTTCTTTTATATATATATAGTCAAAGATCTTAGGGCACCCTTAAAAACTTTCTTAAAAAAAATATGGATGTAAGATACCCCATTAAGGGTGGTCTCAGGATAAAAAGAATATACCAGTCTTGGTGACTATAAAAATTAGTATTACTAATTACTTTATTTTTGTTTTTTCAGTATTTTACAAACTAGTATTAATAATTCAACTACTTGTTTTGTCAATTATAACCATGATCCATGATATATAGTCATCGCTAACCAGAGTAATATAAGTCTGCATGTGTAACATTAATTAAGGGATAAAAAATAAACCTTTTTATAACTTTATATTTTTTTTTATTTTTTTTTTGTCATCGAATAAAAAGCTAACTCAAATGAGCCAACTTGACGGACAGTTGTTTACAAACTTAATCAAATGCGGACTGGAACGAGCTTTGCGTGCCAAGTAATCCGCTTTTACATTCAGATTTCTAGGAATAAAAGATAAAGAAAAAGATGAGAATTCTTCCCTATCATTCTTGATATCCTCCAGGTAGACAGAGAAAGCCGGCCATTCGTGAGGAGAAGACACCATCTTCACCAAGTCCGAACAGTCGGTAAGAAAAGCAACTTCTCTGAAGTCATGGCCAATCATGCATCGCATCGCCCACACCAGAGCTTCTACTTCCGAATGAAGAGGGGAAAGACTTCTTCGTAGGTTAGAAGCTCCCATCGTCGTGGAAGAATTATGTGCATGCTGACAAAACCATCCTAAACCTGCATACATATCTGTGGCCTTCCAAGACCCGTCAATGAAACAACGATAACCCGAAAACCTGGAAGGTATAGAACTCGGTAACCCAGGCATAACATTATCACCTACGGGGCCCTCCCTCGTAGTATTGGAGTCATCTAATTGTGCATCATACCAAGTACGAGCTTCATCTGTAGCTAGCCGGACGACATCTGAAGGGTTTTTATCTAGATTATCAAAAACCATATCATTTCTGGACTTCCAGATGTACCACAAAATCCAAGGACAAAACCTATACTCCTCCTTTACTAGTATACGCAAAATATAGTCCATATTAGCAAAAACAGAAGCCGTAGGGAACCCAATAGGCCCTACTGGGACGTTTGCTAATGCCCAAGTTTGCCGAGCTGGTGGACAATCAAAAATTACATGATTGACCGTCTCCATTGGGTCACCACATCGTCCACATCGCGTATCACAATTAATTCCCCGTTGACTCAAGTTGGCCAAAACAGAGATGCAACCTGTAAGTAATTGCCACATAAAATGATGAAGTTTAGGTGGACACCTAACTTTCCATATTCCTGCTAATAACGGAATGATATCTGGGCCGCACACTTGCGGAGTTGACATTTGTAGTGTTTGCATTCTGGCAGCATAATAACCGGATCTAACCG